TCAAAATAGCTTTTACTATCCCATTTTAAGGATTAGATAAAGCAACTAGCAACTTTCTACTCTTGAAGGTGAACAGCCTCATAATTCTCCATAATAATTCCCAGATTCTTTGTTGACTATTAATTTTGTTTTTGGCCCTTCTATTTGTGAGTTCCTTGTAGATACTATTTTGAGTTTATATATTTTGTTGTTTGTTTGTTTGTTTGTTTATTTATTTATAAATCTTTATTGTTGAAAATCTTACATATTTCTCCCTTTGGCCCTCTCCAGCCTGCCCCCTCCTCTTGAGTTTACATTTGATACTACTTTGGTGCTACATTATTTGTTTGCAAGAGGTGCAAATTAGACTGCCCTTTTTCAAAACTCTCAAAGAGGCAACTCATAATCTACCATAATGCTAGTGCACAGTGTTATGCCCAGATTTCATGATCCCCAAGGACCACCAGGGAGCCGAGTCCGATGCAATTGCAGAAAGCCTGAATTCCATGCTAGCATGGGCTCTGTTCCACTTACGCAGGCATCATGGCGGAAGAGCACGGGCTTCAACAGGTTAAGGGGTTTTATAGGGGTGGTGATGTCACTGCTTTGGCTGACCCTGATTGGTTGGGTGAGGGCTAGGGTCCAGTTACAAAATGGAGGATAGCTCCGCCCTGCCCCCCAGTACAAAATGGAGTCAGGAGTTAGCCTCACCCCGCCCTGCCCTCTCACACAGTATGTGTGTCATAAATACATGTATATTAATGATTTGGTTAAGTGACATGGAAGTACAGAGTGAATTACTCATACTATAGTCCTGATGGGTTGGAGCTTTGTAGCAAAATATTTAGGTTGCCTAGAATATTATGTGATTGAAACAAAGGTTAAGGGGTTCAGTTTGGTTCATGGAAGAGAAATCTGTAGTCATAGCCACAGGCTGCCCCTGTGAAAACATGGAAGCTCTCTCCAGCAAGTAGGCTGTAACTAACCCTAGATTGAACTAGCAAGATGACTTTGCCTCTGGCCACCCTGTTCAGTTGACTTAAGCAGAGGCAGGTGAGTGGCAGACATTTTTGCCAGTGAGCTCTTGGAGGACTAGGCTAGGTCTTGCCCTCTAATTATTTTTATTCGTCATAGAGCCAAGTACTATGTCTGTTCCATAAACTTGTGGGCTGATAATGGTTTAAAAGGAGAATCTGACCAAGAATGTAAAAGATTCAAGCCTTTTCTTTGCATTTTCTGGGCTCAGAATGCTACAAACCTTACAGGCTTCATTTAAATCGGATGGGGAACGTATGGCCACGGGCTGTATAAGGCCTCAAAATCATTTGGTCCTGCCCTGCCCAGGCACTAGGGGTTAGCTAATTAAATGCCTGACCAAATATGTCTGCAGGCTAATTTTTAAGTTGATAATTTTGTATGGCCCTCGAATGATGTTATAAATATTGAAATGTCCCTTGGCAGAGAAAAGGTTCCCCACCTTTGATTTTAAGTCTTTTGAAATAAAACACTGCTTTTCTAGGATGTCTTTCCTTGCACTAGCTTAATGCAGCCGGTCTTTTTTTTCTTTTTTTTTTTGGAATTAAAAATTTTTTTTTTGTGAATCCTCACTCAAGAATATTTTTCCATTCATTAATTTTTTTTAGAGAGAGAATGGAAGGGAGGGGAAGAGACACAGAGAGAGAAGCATCCAATGCGAGAGACACATTGCTTGGTTGCCTCCCACACGTGCTGCGAACAAGGCCAGGGATTGAGCTTGCAACTGAGGTACATAACCTTAACTGGAAACAAACCTGGGACCCTTCAGTCCTCAGGCCAACGCTCTATTGTTTGTGTGTGGACGGGGTGGGGGGTGGTTATTTTACCTACATGAAATCCTTGGCTTCTAAAGGACCTTCATTTGTGATGTGGTACTTCTCTGTCTACTCTCACCTGCCACTTGAAACAACTGCTTCATCTTGTGGAAGCTCCAGCTTGACTTTCATAGCTAAGGGAAGTTTTATATTTAGGGCTAGGGTATTGTGTCCATAGGATTTGAAATTCAAAGTTCAAGGGCTCTAGATTTGAGATCCTAGTGGGAGCTTTAGGTTTCGAGAGTGACCCCAATTCTGGGAGTGTGTGCTAAAACTCAGACAACTTGACCCAGATTTTGGACAACAGGGGACAATAGCAATAGGGAAGATGTGTAGTGTTACGCCCAGACTTTGTGATCCCCAAGGACCATCAGGGAGCCGAGTCCGATGTAATAAACAAAAGAGCCTTTTCCATGCTAGCATGGGCTCTGTCCCACTCACGCCCAGCATGGCGGAAGAGAGAGCGAATTTTGCCCAGCCCAGGGGTTTTACTCCGGTGGTGATGTCACTGCTTTGGCTGACCCTGATTGGTTGGGTGAGGGCTAGGGTTCAGTTACAGAATGGAGGATAACTCCGGCCTGCCCCACAGTGGAGTCAGGAGTTTATCCTCGCCCCACCCTGCCCTCTCATCCCCCCCTTGTCTTATGTGCATGAGTCAAATCATTGATTCAGCCTACTTCCTTTCAGCATAAACAACAAATACAGTTACCAAGATCCTTAGTACCACAGTTCCCATCAGTATTGTCCTCACTGAAGTCCAGTTCCCCTCCTGCAGGCATCATTGCTGGTCTTGCTTCATGGTCTATCTTTATTCCATGTCAGGATGCTGCTAGTTGTTATTGAATTGTTTTGTTTACCAGCTCTTCTTCATTACCCTATAACTTTGTAAAAAATAAAAATGTTCCAGGGTGTATTTTTTTTTTAATGTTGACACTGGCACTGCATAGATGCTTAGTAAATTTTTAATGAATGACTAGGTTATGCAGTTGTCATCTTAAGAGATGAAAATCTTTGAGTAAATCAATGAATGAACAAAAACATTGCAGTTAAATTGGCCTTCTATCTAAATGGCATTAACTCAGAATGAAGCAGATTGGGTTAGAGATGGGCTTGAGGATGGTGTCAGGATTTGGGATATCTGTGGTGGGAAATAGAGGGGTGAAGTGAAGGACTGAGGCCCAGAGAATGACCATAGCCGGTATCTAATTTACATGGTGTGACTCCCCACCAAAACTCTAGAGCCCAGGTGAAGTTCCTTGACTGTTCCTTCCTTAAAGAGCCTTTCCTGATGTCCTAAGTTAAATTTCTTTATTATAGGTTCCTACACTTTTGTTCTTCTGGTATTCATTATTGTTGTAGTTTTGCATTTGATTGTTACAATTGTTATTATATAAAAGTTTACTTTCCGCCGAAGCCGGTTTGGCTCAGTGGCTAGAGCTTCGGCCTGCAGACTGAAAGGTCCCAGGTTCGATTCCGGTCAAGCGCATATAACTTGGTTGCCAGAACATTCCCAGTATGGGGTGTGCAAGAGGCAAATGATCAGTGTTTCTAGCTCTCTGTCCCTCTCTCTTCCTCTCTGTAAAAAAAAAAAAAAAAAAAAAAAAAAATCAATAAAATATATATATTTTTAAAAAGTTTACTTTCCCCAGTAACTAAAAGCTTTTAGGAAAGATATGTCTGATTTTGCTTACCATTGTACAGTGTCTAGCATGTCTCTAGTAGACACTTGGTAAATATTTGTTGAATTTAATGAATCAAATATAGTGGTTCTCAACCTTTTTAATCTACCCCGGCACACCTGTGGAATATGACTTGCTTCCATCTGAACCACTATTGTCCGCCCTGATCCTCTCCTGGAGGAGGCAGGTGTCAGATAGTTTAGGGCAGTGGCTAATAAATCACAGATTCTGGAATGAGAATGCCTGGGCTCCTCTGCAGCCCACCTCTCACCAGTTTAGTGACCTTATGCAAATTCTTTATTGTTGAAAGTATTACATGAGTCTCCTTTCCCCCCCATTGACCTCTCCCCGCCCGTGCCCACCCCCCCCAGCACAGGCCCTCACCCCATTACTGTCGGTGTCCATTGGTTCTGCGTATATGCATGCATACAAGTCCTGTGGTTGATCTCTTACCTCCTTACATCCTTCCCTGCCTTCCCTCTGAGGTTTGACAGTTTGTTCCATGCCTCTGTCTCTGGATCTGTTTTTGTTCATCAGTTTATGTTGTTGATTATATGTAACAAATGAGAGAGATCCTGTGATATTTATCTTTCTCTCATTGGCTTATTTCGCTTAGCATAATGCTCTCCAGTCTATCCATGCTGTTCTTATGCAAATTCTTAATCTCTCTATGCATGCTGCAGTGTCCGCATCTGTGAAGTGTGCTACCAGTAGGACCTCCTGCTTGGGGTTGTCATGGAGTTTGCATGAGAGGATTCACAGAAAGCTTTTAGAGAAGCATGTGACATGTGAAAGTTAGTTACTATTGCTTGTGGTTTGAAAAAGACTTCTAGATGATTTTGATAATTTTCTTTCCTTGAGACTCCTGTCTTAATGGTAAAGGATTTGTAAGACAGGTACCTGTTAGCATCTTATGTGTGTGTGTGTGTTCATTGTCATATATTGAATATTGATCTTCAAGGGAAACTGAGAGAGAAAACTCTGGACCAGGATGGTCTTTTTGGCCCAGTTACCCAGTGACACCCTGAATGGAAATCATTCTTTATGAACCAGGAGGTCACGGTTCATTTCCCGTCAGGGCATATCCCCAGGTTTGTGGGCTCGATCTCCAGTATGAGGTGTGCAGGAGGCAGCTGACCAATGATTCTCTGTCATCATTGATGTTTCTATCTCTTCCTCTCCCTTACTTTCTTAAATAAATAAAAAATATATTTAAAAAAGGAGTAGTAGGGCTCAGCCTGAGTGGCCCAGTTGGTTGAGCATTGTCCTGTGCACTGAAAGATTGTGGGTTCCATCCATGGTGGGAGCAGGTACGGAAGGAAGGCAACCGATGCTTCTCTCTCTCTTTCTCTCCCACCCTCTCTCTAAGCATGTCTTCAGAAGAAGATTTTTTTAAAAAATGGTAGCCATCCTATCTGTGGAATGAGAGATTAGTGAATGCTGTCTGCCTTACACCTGCTGTGGTAAACTTGATCCTTTATTTCCCTTGCAGAGGAGGTGGCCAAGCTGGAGAAGCACTTGATGCTTCTCCGACAAGAGTATGTCAAGCTGCAGAAGAAACTGGCAGAGACAGAGAAGAGATGCACTCTTTTGGCTGCGCAAGCAAACAAGGAGAACAGCAGTGAGTCCTTCATCAGCCGCCTGCTGACGATTGTGGCCGACCTCTATGAGCAGGAGCAGTACAGGTGGGCTCCGTGGACACAGGGCCAGTTTGGAGAAGCCAGCCCTTTAGCTTTATTCCCAGGCCACATTGCAACTTTTCCTCTCTTCCTCTTTTGTGTAAAATATGTTTTTGTTTATTTCAGAGAGGGAAGGGAGAGGGGGAGAGAGTTAGAAACATCAGTGATGAGAAAATCATTGATCAGCTGCCTCTTGCACATTCCCTACTGGGGATGGAGGCTGTAACTCGGGCATATGCAGCTACTGGGAATCGAACCCTGACCTCCTGATCCATGGGTCAACATTCAACCACTGAACCACATCTGTTGGGCTCAACTTCTCATCTCTTTTTGACCTTCTTCCCAAGTTTATTTCTATCGAGGATCTTGGCAAACCTTTAGTTTCTAGAATGTAAGTTTCTTAAGGCAAGATTTTGTCTGTGTGTGTTTCCTGCTTATCTTATGCACAGATAATAGAACCAGAAGATCACGGTTTGATTCCCGGTCAGGGCACATGCCCAGGAGGCAGCGGAACAGTGATTCTCTCTCATGATTGGTATTTCTATCTCTCTCCCTTCCTCTCTGAAATTAATAAAAATATATATTTTTAAAAAGCTATTTAAATTCAACAACATGCATGTTTATGGGGAAAAGTTTATTGGTAAAAGAGCATCTGCTTCCCAAACTGATTTTCCAATTTCAGTTTCTCCATCTAGTTCTCTCTTTAATAGAGCTAGAATTGTTGATATGCTTACGTAGTTACAAAGTATGTTCTAGATAGTGCTTTTATGAGGAAAAATGTGTCTGCATGAAGCATTATGTAGATACAACATAATGGTTGGGTCTCCTTTTCAGCGGATAAGTAAAGTAATAGTTTTATGTATTCATTCATGTTATAGTTTTTGTGTATTTAGTTTCTAAAAGCTTTTCAACCTAACAATTATTTTAGAGGGAGTATGAAAATTTAAAAAACACCAATACAAGCAGGGTGATGATAATTAATGACTTGGAATTGCTGTCAATACAGCCATATGGCACATACTGTGTCAGCTCAGTAGGTCACTGGTAGGTTTTGTTAACTGCCTAGATGCTTTCCTGCCTTATTATTGGACATTTCAGAGTTAAACATAAATAACTATTTGAAAATCTCTTTTCATATGATAGTATGTCATAAACATAAAAACATGTTTGAAAGAAAATATTTCTCTCACTGTATTTCTTTTTAAATGTCTGAGTAAAAGATGGCCAATAAAAGGTCTGAATGTTTCTCATAAGAACAGGAGTCTAGATATTGGGTCTCACGTACTTGACTGTTTTATCAAAGCTAATTTGGCCATACGTTTTCTGTTTTTACTGTGCGTGGGCATTAATGCGGTATGGCGCATAGCAGCACTGTAGTCTCAGGGCTGGCATCACAATCTCTAGGCTTGTTGTCATTCTCCCCCTGACGATTATCTTGATTTATTGCTCATAAAACCTTTTCTACTTTTTACATGAACGTTAAACATCCTATTAACTTGTAGGTTCACCACCCTCAGAATTTCATTAGGTGTCTTTGAAAGCAGAACATGGGTGTGAACTAAAGCTATAAGTTAGAAATAGAAAACATGTGTAGCAACATATTGGAAACATCACCCATCAGAATTAAGTGCTTGCATAGAGAAAGAAATTTGCTGTGATTTTTTTCTTATGCACATGTATGTTGATGAATATTTATATTTAGCTGTGAATTCTAGCGATATCTAGTTATGATGACAGTTTTCTTTGTGTATTTGTGAATGTGTTTCTTCATCAGTGATCTAAAGATAAAGGTTGGGGGAAGGCACATCAATGCTCACAAGTTTGTCCTGGCGGCCCGCAGTGACAGCTGGAGTCTGGCCAATTTGTCTTCCACCAAGGAGCTGGACCTGTCAGGTGAGCCTCTGACCAGTTGGGGACTCAAAACTGCCAGCACAAGAAGTCTTGGCAGAAGGTTAAGGTGTGTTGCTTTGAAATATTTGTGGTTTAACAAAAGTAGAATACTTTTCTTATTGGTCAGTGGTGACCACAAACTACTTACACAGTTAGTGAATCAGTAGGTTATACTTTGTGAATACCTTCGTTTACTATCTGGCTAATAAATAGTAAATATTTGTGTATCTACAGTACTTTCATAATTTATAAAACATAAATGTCTGTCCAGAAACTTTTTTCATATAATAGTATACTATAAATATGGGAGCATGTATAGAAAACAATTTTTCTTTCACTCCAAGATAAAGCCCTCCTGTTCAGTTGCCTAAAATTGAATCATAGCTTTCAAAGTACTTTCCCTGGTCTGTAAGAACTGAATTCAGAAATAACAGTTACTCCAAGGAAAAGAATATTTTTTATTTAAGACCAAAGAATGAGTGGGGCTCAGTTGGTTGAGTATCGTCTCATGCTCCAAAAGGTTCAATTCCCATTCAGGGCACATACCCAGGTTGCAGGTTCAATTCCCTTTTGGGGTACTTATGGAAGGCAACCGATTGATGTTTCTCTCTAACATCGATAGTTCCTCTCTCTCTCTCTCTCTCTCTCTCTCTCTCTCTCTCTCTCTCTCCTCCCTCCCGCTCCCTTTCTCTTTCTTTAATATCAATAAAAACATATTTTTAAAACATCAAAGAATGAGCTTCATTCTTTAGAATTTGAATAGGTGCATTGAGCTGTTTAAAGTTATTATTTAATTGTTTTATGCCACATTATGTTGTTTAGAATATGGGTAAATATGGTGGTAAGTAGACATAAAAACGTAATTTTTGAAAGTTGACTTCAAAATGCATTTTCAGATGGTACTCTTTTGTTTTAAAAAAGCAAATTTTAAATTTAATGCTGCTATTTAATAATCATGAGAATTGTAATGCATGATAAGGAGAATATCTAGGCATTAAATTATTAGTTCTTTCCAGAAGTGATTGGCTCTGTGGGAATTTTGCTGAATTGTCTTTGCTGACCATTCAGAAGGTATTGTTTCCATGTGTGGTACTGGGAGCACTAAGATCATTATAACACAGTCCTTGCCATACAGACCGAGCTCATACTCTGTTAGAGGAAATGGGCTAATAATAAGTCATTGCAGGCCGGGGCTGTGTGTATGGTAATATAATTGCTTTATCTTAAGGTACAGACGACACTAACTAGGGCCGATAAGGTGCCAGAGGTGAGCAGTGTTGCAAAGGTTAAGTAGGCACCTTTCTCAAGGATTTAGGGGAGCAGATGTTTAACTTCATTTCCTAGGTTTAACCTGATGTCCTTAATTCAGAGTTGTAAGCACAATGTCCTTAATTCAGAGTTGTAAGCACAATACACACATGCATATACATGTGCATATGCATTCATCTGTAATTAAAACATCTACTTGGGAAGCAGTCTACAAGACTGAAATCTCTGAACTGAGCCTTTCAATTTTAAGTCTTTTGAAGCCATATATCTTTGACCCCTTATATAACAACTATGGATAACATTAAAACCCATTAGGTCATGATGTATTCTTTATAAAATGCACAGTAGGATTTTGTTTACACGAACAGATAGTTTACAAAGATTAGAAGAGATAATAAGAAAATATCCAGCTTTGTTAGAACAAAGTTTAGAATAAGCTTATCTACATTATCAAAAATTGATGACCCCAATAGTGCGGGGCTCATGAAACTGGTCCTCTTGCACATTGCCAGTCTCTTTATAAATGGGTATGACAGTTGTAGAAAGCACTTAGGCAGCAGAACTATAAAATGGTCTTTTTAACCTTATCGTCTCACCTGTCTCAGATGGATTCTGTCATAGGTAATTCAGATAACATAACTTTATGTGTAATTGTGAAATACTGTATGCAATCAAAATGGATAAGAGTGAAAAAAAATGAAATATTGACTGCTACCTGGAACAAATAAAATTGCATAGAACGCAAAGGTATGAAATGTCTAATTTAAACATTAAATTAAAAACTTGTTACTTTCTTAGGACATCGTAATATTTAAAAATATATTTCTCAGTTTTAGAGACGAATAAGTTCGACCATTTTAAAGCGCAGCTTTTACACTGTTTATACACTTGTTTACAAGAACCGATTTCCAATCTCCCTCAAATTGCTGGCCAGCCATGCAGTTGGTGCTTCCAGGTATCGCATAACAGGCTGCTCAGGCTGTCTCAGCTGCTACAAACCCAGATTTAGGCAACCACACCCCCACCCACCCAGGCAATTCAGCAGGACTGCTGGGCAGAACACATTAAACATGAACAGGTCCACATATGCCACCAGCTCCTTAGATCCCTCCCCCATGATACACTTTTTCAAAGATAAATTTTATAAAGATGCCTATTAGCTATCTTAGCTAATTAGCCACAAAAAACTTGACTCTGCAGAGTCTCACTCCTGAAAACAAGCCTTACAGCAGGAATCAAACCATCCTTACTATTTACACAGGAGGAGAGTTCAGGCTTCTTTAAAGGCATTAACATTGTACTTTCCTAAACTCTAGAAAGTCTCAATTCACTATGATGCAGTCTTGTGGTCATATAGTCACTGAATTAAAGTTGCTGGTAAGTATTACGATGTACTGCCCTGCCGGTGTGGATTGAGTTTGATTCCTGGTCAGGGCATATGCCCGGGTTGTGGGCTCCTACCCCAAGATGGGGGTGCGCAGGAGGCAGCCTCAGAAAAACCACTGAAGCAGAGCATGTCTCATCCCACAGCAGGTCAGACTAGGGCTCGGAGACCAGGCAAGGACCACTAGAGATCTCTTGCCGCCCAGAGCGGATCAGGCTCACCCAGATGAGAGGCAGTAAATGTTTCTCGTGCCATACAAAAATACTTGATTCAACTTAGGTGAGGCGACGGGGATTGCTGAGGCTGTGGCTGGGTCTCAAATCTGGAAAATTCTTGGCAGCACTGTGAATAAAAGAGCCCAGACCTCAGCCAAGGAACCTCCGGTCCAGGCAGCAGGTGGGATCCCTGGTACCTGAGACGAGTCCTCACTTGTCAGTCTCATCTGGATTGCCAGAATATGAAATTTGACAACCATTGAGTCCAGGCTGCCTATCACTGCTTGAGCCAATTCATCAGACAGGGTTAAATCATATATGAGGGTTTATTCCAGTAATGCCGATATTGTGGAAAAGCAGCAGGTCATCCACAAAAACCTGCTCTCTCAACACACAAGAGCATAATTTAATTATTTTTCAAAACACTTTAAAAGTTCTATTAATACATTACCAGGTTAAAAAAAAAAAAAAAGTACATTGCCACCGTCGTTTTATGGTTCAGAGTCGACCTATGAACCAGGGGGTCATGGTTCGATTTCCAAACAGGGCACATGCCTAATTGCAGGCTCGATTCTCAGTGTGAGATGTGCAGGTCATAACCTATCAGTGATTCTCAACAGTGATGTTTCTATCTCTCCCCCTCTCCCTTCCTCTCTGAAACAAAAAACAAACAAACATATATTTAAAGAAAAAAATATATTGCCAGGTAAGAGAGAAAATAAAAAATTAAGCCTTAACATGATCATTATTAGCATTTTGGTGTATTTTCTTTCATTTTTTTTACGCCTTTTAAAAAAATACCTGGCTGTTTATATCTCCCACTACATTTTGGAAGAGAGTGGGTTAATAAGGGCTACTCAGTTGTTGCCTAATTATTAAGTTAGTAAGATGTTACTGGCCCGTGTTGTGTCTTTTCTACATAATCAAGAATTGAGTATAGTTTCTTAAACATTAAATTAAAAACTTTACTCTTTTAGGACACCATAACATTAAAAAATATGTTCATCATCAGTATCACATGAAGGATTTGTTAAAACCCAAATTCTAGACCCGACCTCCAGAGTTTTCTGATTCATTATTTGATCTGGGGTTATTTGGCCTGAGATTAAGAATTTCTAACAAATTCCCAGACGATGCTGATTCTGCAAGCCAAGGACCACTGATGTAGACCATGGTTTTAAGTGATCCTCTAACTCTTACTGTTAATCAAGAGTAGATTCTAGTTGAAATCATAGTTTTGATTTTTATACTGTGGTTTTCATCCCAAGTATTTCCCCAAGTTGCTGTAGAGACTTTACCTTAAAAATTAATTAAGTAGTCGAAACCGGTTTGGCTCAGTGGTAGAGCGTCGGTCTGCGGACTGAAAGGTCCCAGGTTCGATTCCAGTCAAGGGCATGTGCCCGCGGCAGCTGGTCGATGTTTCTCTCTCATCGATGTTTCTAGCTCTCTATCTCTCTCCCTTCCTCTCTGTGAAAAGTCAATAAAATATATTCTTTTTAAAGATAAATAAGTAATGCATGTTCATTAAATAAAAATTAGAAAAAAGAAACTAAAATAAAAATTGATTATGAATTCCATCAGGGTTGATATTTTAGTGTATATCCTTCCTAATCTCTCAATAGACAGAGTGACAGATAAACAGTCAGTCTGACTAAAGCCATTCCACTCTGAATGTCCTTGATTCTGGAATTCTGAACAGAGACAGACCTGGTTAGTGCTTGTTAGGGAGACAGACAAAACTATATACGTGTGGGTGTGTGTATTTATGTATGTGTGTGTGAAATTCTTATTCTCAGGCCCACCCCAGATCTAATAATCAAAAACTCTGGAGGTGGGGCCTAGAATTTGAGTTTTAACCTTATAAGCATATATATACTCACACAAATATATCTAACAAGAAATGGTATTATGTAATATATGTATTTTTAGCCTATTTTTTAAACAGTGTAGTAACTATATTCTTATGCTGAATATAGATCTAAATCTTAATTGATGCAATGTTTTCCAGTGTGTGAATATGTTATAATTTAATTTGTTCTCCATTATTGGATTCCAAGATTTTTGTTCCAGTTTTTTATTATTAAAAACAATGCTGTGTTGACTATCTTAGTACATATATTTGCTCAGTTTTTTCTTAATAATTTACATATATAGTTGCTGTGTAAGGTTTATGAACTTCTAAGAATCTTTGGTAGTGTGAGAGACAAAAAACACATTCTAATTTAAATTTATACTAGTATTTAGTTATTGGTAAGATTTATTGGCCATTTTTATTTATCTCTGTGAATTATCTATTTATATCTATTGCCTATTTTTCTATTGGAAGTCTATTTTTTTTTGTAGGATCTTTTTATTAGAATGTAAACTCTTGTGTCATATGTTTAAAATATTTCCCCTCATTTTTTGTTGTTAATCTTTACCTGAGGATATTTTTTCCATTGACATTTTAGAGAAAGTAGAAGGGATGGGGAGACACACAGAGAGAGAAATATTGATGTGAGAGAGATACATCGATTGGTTGCCTCCTGCAAGTGTCCAACCAGGGCTGGGAATCGAGCCTGCAACCTAGGTATGTGACCTTGACCGGAATTGAACCTGGGACCCTTGAGTTTATGCTAGTGCTCTGCCACTGGGCCAAATTGACTAGTATTTCCCCCAGTTGTTTTTGTTTTGTTTTAATTTTACTTATTGCTTTAGTAGGTTCATTTCCTCCAGTTACCATCTTTTGCAAAGCAAATACTTTTTTGCAGTTAGATGCTGCCCAGAATGCTAAATTAACATTTTTAAAAAATGTCTTTCTTGATTTCAGAGAGAAAGGGAGATTGAAAAAGAGAAAGAAACATCAATGTTGAGAGAATCATTGATCCGCTGCCTCTTGTATGCCCCACACTGGGGATCAAACCTGCAACCTGGGCGTGTGCCCTGACTGGGATTTGAACCATGACCTGTTTCACAGGTCGATGCTCAGCCACTGAGCCATGCCGGCGGGCTTATCATTTTTATTTTTGCTGTGTGATATTTCTTTGAGTTGGATGAACCAGAATATACTTTATTAGCCTCAGTTTTAGGGATCCTCAAGAAGGCTTAGTGTCATGAGTGCTTTGATTTCAGACTCTACTTACTTTCTTTAACCAGATGCTAACCCTGAGGTGACAATGACAATGCTTCGCTGGATCTATACGGATGAGTTGGAGTTCAAAGAAGATGATGTGTTCCTGACTGAGTTGATGAAACTAGCTAATCGGTTTCAGCTACAGCTCCTTAGGGAGAGGCAAGTCACAGCAGATATATTCAAGCACCTCAGATGGTGGTGGCTGAGCTTTAATTATGGCAAGCTCTGGGAAAACAGCTTCTCCTGCTAATGTAAATAACTTTTGCAAGGTGTTTTTTAAAGGCTATAGGGGGGAGAGAGAATTTATCTCTCGTTTTGTGTTATCTTGTAAACTAAATTTTGCTAACACCTTTAAGGTATTCTCTTTTCTTTCCCTGGTTTATTATCTGAGATTACATAATTGTGTGAATTGATAAACTTGAGTATGGAATAACAAAATCCAGTATTCAAACCCTCAGCTTTCCCTCCTATACCTTTTTCCTTTGACATTTTATTCTCTTTCTGATCTATCTACGTGAATGAAGTCCTTGGTCAGAGTCTCTTTGTTAGAAACACATTGATGCCTAAATTAACACACGAGAGAATATATATAGATCAGTATGTTTCTGAGGTCTTACTCATTTGGTATTGCCTCCTTAGGTGCCCAAGGAGATAGCCTGCTATGTTGTTTTTGTTTTTCTTTTTCTGCTATGTTTTTTATGCTGCATTTTCTCTGTTGCTTTCCCAGGTTGGCCTTTCAGAACAATGAGGGGGAAACAGTCAACAGACGACAGGCAAAATGCCCTTAAGGTTCTGTTGGAGATGTGGCCTTTGGTAGTTAGCTGGGTTGATGGAGTGTCCTTTTACCTTATTTTGTGATATTTTTTGTGAAGAAATAGGTTTGAGTGGGTGAGGGGTTGTTTCCGCCGGCAAGAGGCACTCCACCTCCACCTCCACCTCCACCTCCACCTCCACCGTTGCTGGGTTGCCCTTAAGGAGATCTTGCTACTACAGCTGCCTGCTCTGTTTTCTCTGGGGGGCTGATGTGGGACGGCCTATTATGCCCATGAGAGTTAGTGTACAGGTTACTCCTAACTGTTTATGATTGATGTGGGCTTGAGTGTATTTAAATACCTAAATGTAATAACTAAGAAAAACCCCAATCATATCTAAGATTTTTAAAAAATATATATATATTTATTTTATTTTATTTTTAAAAAAATGTATTTTATTGATTTTTCACAGAGAGGAAGAGAGAGACATAGAGAGTTAGAAACATTGATGAGAAAGAATCATTGATTAGCTGCCTCCTGCACACCCTCTACTGGGGATGTGCCTGCAACCAAGGTACATGCCCTTGACCGGAATGGAACCCGGGACCTTTCAGTCCCCAAGCCTACACTCTAACCGGTTTCGGCATATCTAAGATTTTTGTAAGCGCATTAGACTAACTATATTATCACGGCCTTTTGTTTGTTATTTGTGTGCATTTTTGAACCATCCATATGAGAGGGAAATGAGTGATTTTAATTAGCTTGAATGTGATTTATGTTTGTTTTTTTCCTTTAGATTTCATGAGCTTTTCCCAGTGACTTTGTCTACTTGTTTATAATTAAATTGCTTTGATAAAAATGCTCTGGGGTTGGAGTAGATTAGATAATTGTAATCTGTGTGATGGATTCTTTAATTAACGTGCTTGTTGTTTATTGACTGATTAGGCTTCATAACTATCAACATTATCAGGCTCAATTTTGTATTGTTGGATGTGGGCATTAAGTTGTTGTCTGTCAGGCTTTTAAGAGCTGGAATGGTAGCCATCCACGAGTGGGATCAAATGTTGGCTTTTTAAACTATCCTAGAGTGCTCCCTACTGTCAGCAGGAGGAATTGCACATTTCAGAAAGTGAAAGGGCTGTGACACATGTGAGCTGTTAAACAGAAGCATGAGTTGCTCATTTCTGTAACATAAATCTTGGTGGCTTGGGAATGCTATCACCAATTTTGTGAGAAGGAAGTTTTTTAGTAAGCTTAAGGAAATACTCTAAAAGAGAATTAATAGTGTATGCTAAAAATTAACAGTTAAAATAATAACTTTTTTCCTGTTTATAAAATGTATGTTCAGTGTATGGTATTTGAAAAATATAGGATAATATAAAGAAGAAAACCAGCCCTAGCCGGTTTGGCTCAGTGGATAGATCATCAGCCCATGGACTGAAGGGTCTCCAGTTAGATTTTGGTCAAGGGTATGTATCTTGGTTGCAGGTTCCCTGGCCCTGGTTGGGTGTGTGCAGGAGGCAACCAATTGATGTGTTTCTCTCACATTGATCTCTCTCTCTCTCTCTTTCTCTCTCTCTCTGTCCTCCCCCCCTTCCCTTCCACTCTCTCTAAAAATAAATAGAAAAATATCTTCTGGTGAGGATTAAAAAAAACAAAAACAAGGAAGAAAACCAAGTCATCCATAATTGAACCACTGCTAGCCATTTGTTGCTTATTTTTTCAGTAATTTTTTTGTGTCTCTCATTTATACACATGGGGTTGATACCAAAAACTACAGACAAGTTAATGGGACACAGATAAATGCTTGATTTTGTATTTAAAAAATCAGGTTTATTGTTTTTGTGCATCTGTACCCTTTTTATATTTTAAATTAAGAACGTATTAACAACAAAATCCTTTCAGAATAGTCAGTCTGTCTTCCTATTTTTCAAAGAGAAGATGTGAACTGAGAATCTGAATTTTGAAATAAAGATCACATGTTCTTCAATCGTGGAAATCATGTCACTTACTATTTATAGCCTGTCCAGATAGTGAATGGCACTCTGGGGATCCCAGAGTTTAGTGAAAACGAAGTGTCTGCCAGTTTTAACAAAACATCTGTCTTCACGAAACATAGTTGACTCACTTGATGCAATGTCGTTTGGCTGTAGAAAGGAAGAGTCGAATTTTCAGATTCTAAGCTTCGTCTGTAAACATGTTTTGAAAGTACTCTACAAAGTTGAGTCCGTACTCCCTGAAATTATACCAGATGTTAGGACACTAGGATGGTAAGACTATGGATATTTGTCATTGTAAAAGTGACAAAAGTTTTCTACGTGTATATATATCTGAAAAGAGGACTTTTCTCCTGGAATGCTCTGATTTCATAGCTGAGGTCCGAATGACTACCTTAATAAGCATTGCTGTGATATGGTAGAAGTTTGCAGAAACTAGTGGTTCAGACAGGCAGACAGGAGGCTGAAAAATGTAACATTATTTACACATTATTGTGATAACCATATTTAGATATTGTAACAACCTGATTTAGAAGTGTGCTGGGGGAGATGCTTCTTCATACATCAAGGCAGCTATGTTACTTAAAAACAAAGCATTTGCTCTGGCCAGGTATCTCAGTTGGTTAGTGTCGTCCTCATAATCCAAGATTATGGATCAGTTCCCTGGTCAGGGCACATACAAAAAGCAACCAATGACTGCATAAATAAATGGAACAACAAATTGATCCCTCCCTCCTCTCTCTAAATTAGTAAATAAAAGTTAACAACAGCCGAAACTGGTTTGGCTCAGTGGATAGAGCCTTGGCCTGCGGACTGAAAGGTCCCGGGTTCGATTCCGGTCAAGGGCATGTACTTTGGTTGCGGGCACATTCCCAATAGGGTGTGTGCAGGAGGCAGCTGATCGATGTTTCTCCCTCATCGATGTTTCTAACTCTCTCTCTTCTTCGCTGTGGAAAATCAATAAAATATATTTTAAAAAAAGAAGTTAACAACAACAAAACACAAAGCATTCAAGCATAGGACTTGAAATAAATTAGTTACCTGCATTTTCTACTGCTAAATGAAGAAATGACTCTAAGATTACTCTTGCTCCTAGCCTAACATCTCATTTGTGAGGTTTTGAAAATTTGTTCCTCATTCTTTTTGTTCCAGGAAAATTTGTTCCAGGCCTTTCTCATGACTCTCCTCCTTTCTTACCCCATCTCTCACTCTCAGGGTCTTTCTCCATTTCTGTTAACTAAACCTCATCTGTTAAATAAGGAATTACGCGCTAGCCCATCAGTTATTCTTATTTGTGATAGTACTGAAACCCACTCATGTTAGCTGATAAATCACGCAGCTTCCTGAGAAGGACCTCAAACTTAAGACCATACCTTATTCTGTACAAAATTTACGCAGTTTAATTTTATTTTTATTTATTTATTCATTTATTTATTTTTATTTTAAATCAATTTTATTTTAAATAAATAAATTTATCATTCATAATATTCCAAAAGTTCCTCATTTTTATCCCCCTCCACCAGGTTCCCATCCCACCCTCTGCCTTTTCCCCACCCCCCATTTACACAGTTTAATTTTAAAAACACAGAGAGAGATCCTCTAACCTCTGGTAGAGTATTATCTTTGTTTTATAGACAAGGCGATGAGGCACCAGAGGGCTTATGTAATTTGGCCTCTAAAATTCAGTGGAATCAACTCAGTTCTTACCTCACAGTTCATTTCCTCTCATTCTGTGCTTGTGATCAGAAAAGGGTTTTTGTGGGGGCTGTGGGACAGAGAAAGGAATGGTGGGGTGTCAGGGAATACCCCTAACACTATATTAGGCCTCTCTGCTGTCCTTGTAGGTGAACCTGATTTGGAGAGAAATGTACAGGCAAGGGAGATGGGAGGATCATGCCACCAGCCTCCTTTCTCCTTGTCCCCAGGCTCAGTTCTGAGGAGGCTCACTAGGTTTCCAGGAAATGTGGGGTACCGGAAGTCTGGATCTCCCCCACGCTGCATCTTCTAGGCCAGGGTGTTTGCCTGCTTTGTGCTGCCAGAGGCCTGCTCACCTGTGTGCAGCCCTCCCTTCTCTGATGTAGTTGTTCTCTTAGTGATCTTTGCTGTTGTTGTCACTAGGCTTGAGGGGATATCCATTGCAGCCAGCTCTTCACTGTCTTGGTTTACTATGGCCTGCACTAACTCAGTTGTTTCTATAAATGATATTTTTTTTTGTGTGTGTGTGGAGGGGGCTTTTTAAACAGCTTTATTGAGCTATAATTCACAAATTATAACTAATAATTCAAATAGTTCATCCTTTAGGAGGACTTTTAAGGGTCTGTTACTATGTGGAGGCATAAAGCCTCATGTTTGAAGCTATTTTTCTAAGCCACATTGATTGCATAATAGAGATGTGCTAACGGGAACTGCAATTGTGTCCCATACATTTGGGAGATTATGCTTAACGTGAATCTACAGGTTATTTGGTATCTGGCCCGAATGAGCAATATAATTTTTTTTTTTACAATATGGTAGTACTTTTACAATGTGGTAGCTCAGCTGTTATTTATTCATAACTACTTCGCTTACCCTTATACTTTAGTGTTATTGGACATAGCCACCAGTACATAGATTATTGCTTTGTTTTGTTGATTTATGAATAGATTTGTCCTGATAATATTGTTCATTATTAATATTCTCTTGCAGATGTGAGAAGGGTGTTATGTCTCTGGTGAATGTCAGGAACTGTATTCGCTTCTATCAGACCGCGGAGGAGCTAAATGCCAGCACTCTGATGAACTATTGCGCGGAAATTATTGCAAGTCATTGGGTAAGTGAGAGATGGAGGGGTGTAAACAAAGCACCCTCACTGGAAGTCGGAAGACCTGGGTGTGAGACCTGGTTTCATGGCAAGTTACCTCTCTGACACCTGGTTTCTTCTTATCACAAAGTTGGAAGCTAAGTAGTGGCATTATATGGTCTGTGAGATTTAAAAAAAAAACACACAAAAAAAGTCTTAATTGATTTTTCGAGAGAGAGGGAGAGGGATAAGAAGGTAGAAACATTGATGAGAGAGAACATTTATTGGCTGCCTCTGCACACCCCCTATTAGGGATTGAGCCAACAACCTGGGCGTGTGCCATGACTGGGAATCGAACCTCTTGATTCCTGGGTCAGTCCTCAACCACTGAGCTATGGGCTGTGAGAATCTTTATGGCTCTCTAAAAGTCTCACAGTTCTGATTTCAGAGGTAAGGTTAAGTAGCCCAGGCCAAGGAGCAGGCTTGGAACGAAGGTGCACCTGCCTTTATCCTCCTTCTGCAGGAGCCACGGCTGTGGGCCCCAAGCAGGAGCGGCTGTGGAGCCAGCAGGCCTGCAGAGCTTGGCATTGCCTTGGGCTTGCTGTGCTCTCTCCATCCTGTGAGCACACTGTTCAATTTAGCTTTTCCCTTCTTTTATCGTAAAGAGTAGTTTTTGTATTTCTTTTTATGTTGTCTGTTGAGCATTTTTAAAGAATCATGGCTAGTGCCATGTTTTATAACCTAGTTTCTGTGAATTATTTGGAATTCAACAACATTGTGAGCAAAAGTATCTAAAAGACGCCTAACCAGTTTGGCTCAGTGGATAAAGTGTTGGTGTGCGGACTGAAGGATCCCGGGTTTGATTCCGCTCAAGGGCATGAACCTCAGTTGCAGGCTCTACCTGGTTAGGGTGTGTGCCGGAGGCAACCCATCAATGTGTGTCTCTCTCACATCGGTGTTTCTCTCTCTCTCTCTTTTCCCCTCCCTTCCACTCTAAAAAAATCAATGGAAATATATGCTCTGGTGAGGATTAACAACAACAAAGTGTCTAATAGAATTGGGTTTTAAAGAATTGAAACAGGAATGGTAACCTTTCTGCTAAAATAGGTTTCCATTTAGAGATCTGCAGTAGTAGAGATCAGTTGTGACTGAGTGGAGTGAATTATGTGTGCAGGTTCTAGTTCGGGAACTGCCACCTGTGTGGGGGTGGGGGCGAAGGACTCTTGTCCTGAGGAGGGCTCCTCGTAGCTGTGTCCGTGCCTGACGGCAGTGCTGCTGTGCTTTTCTGTCACCAGCAGGCACATGCTGTGGTGACTGGTACAGGCTTGGGAAGTGGTGGCTCTAGATGCCAGCTCAGCCATTTCTCACTGTGTCGCCTCGGGCAGGGCAGGTAGCCTCCTTATGCTTTCCTTTCTTCGTCTGCAAAATGGAAATGATAACAGTACCTACCTCACAGGATTAAATGAGTTGGGCAATGCTAAGCTCCTTAAAGTGGGGCCAGACTGTTCTAAGGGCTTCTTAGTAAGTATCAGTTGTTATGTTGAGTCTGTTCTGTTTTTCACTGTCTTTTTATTCCTTAGGATGACTTGCGAAAAGAGGACTTCAGCAGCATGAGTGCTCAGTTGTTATATAAAATGATCAAATCCAAGACTGAGTACCCATTACATAAAGCTATCAAAGTGGAGAGAGAAGATGTGGTCTTTCTTTACCTAATTGAAATGGATTCACAGGTACTGTAGCTGTTCTTCCCATTTTCATGCCTTTTCTCCAAACTGTACTCCACTTGCTTTTCTCTAGAATGCTCTTCACTTCCTTCTGTGCCCTTACTGGCACCGTCTTTAGTGCAGTGTTTGTCCTAGGAGTTTGTTTAAGGCATCTGAGTGCCTCAACTCTTCCAGCCGCTGCCCATTGCCCAATCCCAGAGCCACACCTGTACTTGTAGGTAGTTTTTACTGCAGAACCCACCTTCTAAATACCAAAATCTGTTTCAGTTTTCCTTGCTGCAATAGAAATTACCACAAAACTGTTGACTTAAAAAACACAAATTTATTATTTCATTATTTGTATGTTGGGAATCCAGTACAAGGTGTCAGAACAGTCTGTGTTCCTTCCTGGAGGCTGTAGGGGTGAATTCATCTGCTCATTTGGGTTGTTGGCAGAGTTCAGTGCCTTGTAGCTATAGGACCAATGTCCCGATTTTCTTGTTGGCTATAAGCCAAGGGCTGTTCTCAGCTTCTGCAGGCAATTGCCTTCCTTAGCGCATGGCCCCCTTCCTCCATCTAAACAGCGATGGTGGATCAAGTTCTTCTCGTGTCACATCTCTCAGACCTATTCTTGCTGCTCTTTTTCACTTTTAAAGGCCATGTGATCAATAGGTTGGGCCCTGCTGGATAATCCAGGCTGCTTTTTCCCTTTTCAAGGTCCTTAACCTTAATCACACCTGCAGAATGTCTTTCATCGTGGAAGATGACATAGTCACAGGTTCTGGGGATTCGGACATGACATCTCTGGGGGTACTATTCTGCCTGCCACAATGTCTTAGGAGAAGTGCCGTTGGTTTGGGTGGATGGCAGTGTAGTATGTTTTATCCTGGGTGTCCAGTGTGTGTGAGGGAGACATAAGAATGCCAGGAGGAATTACATAGTGAAGCCAGTCGTACATGAAAACATTAGCAGATTCCCATCGGGCTCTCTGAAACTCAGCCTGGCACCGTGTTCCTCTGCCCTGTCTGCATTTCCCCTCGGTCCTTGTACTGTCTTCCATGGTGTTTGCATCTGCTCCATGACTCCCCATTTCTTCTGTGCTTCCTGAAAGTGTGTGCCCTGAGGAGGCCTGAGAGAAGTTAGCGAACTCAGTTGTGTTTGGGGAGTAAGCTAAATTTTGATATTTGCATAGAGATGCTATTTAAGAGTCAAGGTGGGAGAGATTGAGATCAGTTGCATTCTCTGCTGGCTGGATGCTAAGTCACAGATTTATCCGTGCAGCTCCCTGGGAAGCTGAATGAACTTGATCAGAATGGAGACCTTGCTCTGGACCTCGCTCTTTCCCGGCGCCTGGAGAGCATTGCCACCACGCTGGTCAGTCACGGAGCGGACGTGGACATGGTAGACAAGAATGGCTGGAGCTTGTTACATAAGGGAATCCAAAGAGGTAGGAAGAAGTGTGTTTTATATTTTTCTTTGCAGGCAGTTTTACTCATATCCAAGTAATTTTGAAAACTGTCTGACCCCATTCTATAGATTCTTAAAAGGCTTTTTGAGTCTGTACTCATATCACTATATGATTTAGAATTTGTGATCAGTGGGTCAAGGAGGGACTGAAGAGCTATTGCCTATGCCTTGTTGGTTAGGCTCTTCATAGTGTCAACAGGGGGCCCCAGAAGAAAGGCTAGAAAGACGGTATTTTCAGAAGAAGTGCCTTTTACTTGGAAGCAGTTGATTGGTTTGTGAAAGGAATTGTGCTAGGAAGACTTAACTTATATCAGTTACTGTAAGAGGGAAAGTACCAAAACCACAAATATTTAAACATATTCTTGGATTTAGATTTGTCACTTTCATAAACTAGACTTCTCTTCTGTTCTAAGTGATAATGTTTTATTTTGTTTTAGAAAAATTATATTTTGTAGCTATGTTTTGAGTACCTAGTCATTAATAGTGGGAGAATATGGAGTGATATAATTAAGGTCAAAACATTTTAATTTTAATGAATTTGCTTTTCAAGGGGGGGGAAAAAACCACACCTTTTTCCTTTTTTTCTCATTGCTTATTAATTCTTAAGTTCCAAATGGATTCTGCCTGATTCAACTTTGTAGTAGTCTTTTTTTAAATTATTATTAAAAATGTTTAATGTTGATAATTATTGCAGACTTCCCCCATAACTATCCCCAGAACCCCTCTTTTGGCCTTCACCACACTATTGTCCATGGCCATGGGAGTTGCATTTATGTTCTGTAGCTAATCCCTACCCCCTGTCTGTTCCATATATTCATGCTTCTGGTTCCATTTTGTTTGTCAGTTTATTTAGTTCATAAGATTCCACATATTAGTGAGATCATATGGTATTTGTCTTTCTCTCACTGGCTTATTTTGCTTTGCAAGGATAAGAGTTCCTTTTTTTTTATAGCTGCACAGTATTCCTGTGGTATAGGTGTACCACAGGTTTTTTTTTTTTATTCACCCATCTGTTGAAGAGCACTGGGGCTGTTTCCAAATTTTAGTTATTCTAAATACTGCTGCTGTGAACATAGGGGTGCATATATTCTTTCTGATTGGTGTTTCACAATTCTCAGAATATATTCTCAGAAGTGGGATCATTGAATGAAAAGGCAATTTAATTTTTGAGAAAACTCTAATCTGCATATCCACCAACACTAAGACTCCCTTTTTTCCACATCCTCGCCAGCACTTGTTGTTTGTTGATTTATTGATATCACATCACACACTCAGGTGTGGGATGATATCTCATTGTAGTTTTACTTTGCAACTTTCTGATGATTAGTGACCAGGTGTGGTATGAAATCTCATTGTAGTTTTACTTTGCAACTTTCTGACTATTAGTGATATTTTTTCTTTTTAAAAAATATATTTTATTGATTTTTTACAGAGAGGAAGGGAGAGGATGAGAGAGTTAGAAACATCAATGAGAGAGAAACATTGATCAGCTGCCTCCTGCACACACCCCCTTTTGGGGATGTGTCCTCAACCAAGGTATATGCCCTTGACCAGAATCAAACCTGGGACCTTTCAGTCCATTGACGCTCTATCTTCTGAGCCAAACCTGTTAGGGTTTGAGCGTTTTTTCATATATCTCTTGGCCATCTGTATGTCCTCTTTGAGAAGTGTCTATTTAGTTCCTTTGCCATATTTTAATTGGATTGTTTGGCTTCCTGGTGTTGAGTTGTATAAATTATTTATAAATTTTGGATATTAACCCCTTATCAGATGTATTATTAACTATTATGTTCTCTCATACGGAGGGTTCTCTTTTCATTTTTTAATAAATCTTTATTGTTGAAAGTAGTACATATGCCCCCTTTTCCCCCTCATTGATCCTTCTAGCCTGCCTCCTCTTTTCATTTTGTTGGTGGTTTCCTTTGCTTGGTATAATCTCATTGGTTTATCTTTTCCTGAGTTTCCCTTGCCCTTGGAGACGTATTGGCAAAAATATTGCTATGAGCCAGGCGGTTGTGTCTCAGTGGTTGAGCGTCGACCCATGAACCAAGAGGTCATTTGTTCAATTCCTGGTCTGGACACATGGTTGGGTTTTGGGCTCCATCCCTTGTAGGGGGCATGTAGAAGGCAGCCAATCAATGATGTTTCTCTCTCATTGATGTTTCTATCTCTCTATCCTTTTCCTTTCCTCTCTCTCTAAAAATCAATAAAAACATTAAAAAATGTTGTTGCTAGAAGTGACTGATACTTTATTGCCTATGTTTTCTTCTAGGATTTTTATGGTTTTGCAACTTACATGTAAGTCTTTTATTCGTTTTGAGTTTATTCTTGTGTATGGTGTAAGTTTCATTTTTGGGGTATGTATTCTATCCAATTTTCCCAGCACCATGTGTCTTTACTCCATTGTGTGCTCTTGCCTCCTTTGTCAAATATTACTTTTTGTGGTGTATATGCTTCTTCTTATGCTAATACTATGCTGTTTTGATTACAGTGGTTTTGTATAATAGTATAGTTTGATATTCAGTATTGTGATACCTCCAACTTTGTTGTTCTTGCAGTAGTCATTTTTGACAGGTAGCATTCCAGTATTGAATGAAAGCTTTCAAAAATGCCAGAGCCTTGCCCTGGCCAGGTGACTTACTTGGTTGGAACGTCATTCCATACACCAAAAGTATATTGGTTTGATTCCATGGGTTATAGATTTCAGATTCAATCCCTGATGAGGGTGTTTACAGGAGGCAATTGATCGATGCTTCTCTTTCACATTGATGTTTCTCTCTTTTCCTCTATCTCTAAAATCAATAAAACGTTAAAGGGTGAAGATTAAAAAAACAAACCAACAACAACAAAATGCCAAAGCCTAACTTTTGTAGAGGGATAGATGATTTGATTAAAGTACTTGGCCACTTTTTTGTTTACATGTGGATATCAGATACAGAGTGTACTGGTTCCCCCACATCTTAGTCATGCGTATTTACCCTTTCAATTATGTGTTATTATTACACTCTCGTTGTCTCTGCTACACTTTTGCCATTCACAAGTTGTTCCTTGCAGGTGGAATGTAGAAACTTCAAATATGGTTCTGTTGTGACTGTGGCTTTGTCCTTTTTGGGCAAAGGTTTTAACAATGTAAACATCGCTCTAAGCCATGTGTTAGAGGGCTAAGCTTGCTGGCTGGTGGAGAGGAAAAATTTGTTCATCATTGGGAAGGAAATCCTCCGAGTCCATCAGTGTGAGAGCAGATGCATTTTTCCCAAGCACCATTCTGCACTGTGCAAAGCCATTGGTGCTTAGCGCTGGGCGTGTGTTCAGTGGGGAAAGTTTCCACATAGGGAATTATTCTTTCCCATACTGTTTAATGACTGAGATGTTTATTTTGGAAACAAATAGAAATGTTATTACAAAAACAATCTCAGAGTTATGTTTCTTTCCTCTTAGGGAGTTAAATTCTTGTGTATGATGAAAAAACATCTTTGGTGAGTTATTAAATATTTTGGTGATTGCTTAGTTACAAGAATTGCCAAGAATTGGTGATGCATTCCTGATGCTTATTTTCAGATTATTTATTCTTCCACTCTGAATTTTGTCATTTGCCTATAAGCCAGTGGGTTGCAGTGTGGGTGTGATAAATCTGATTGCTGCTAACCTTGGAGAGTGTGGCACAGCTGGTGAATACAGCACTGGCATTGGAGGTTGGGCATACTAAGATTTGAATCCTGGTTCATCCACTTACTCTGGCCTTGGACAAGTCACTTAACCAGCCTGGTCTCCTTTTTCTCACCTGTGAAGTGGGAAGCATTTTTTACTGATTGTTGGGAGAATGAGAGTCAGTGTTAGCGGTACACCTCGCACAATGACTGCCATGTGGTAGGGCCTACCTGGGTGGGCCCTGTGCCAAGCACCACAGTAGCTCCCATTCCTGTAGGAACTTTTTTCACTTTTCTTTCCTCAACTTGAGCTTTAAACTTCCTATATAAGAGTGAAGACCTTTCATATATGAGATTTAAGTCTGGTTCTGGACACATCTGTAAACAAAATAGTCAGTGACCATTCTGTTGACTAAGTTATTCCAGTCAGTTTGTATGAAGAATGAAATAGGTAGCCGGTGTCTGGGTGAGTCCACGGGAGGGATGCCATCTCTTCTGATTAGCTGCAGCAGGGCAAGAAGATGAATCTTTATTAAAATATATATATGTATCTAATTGTCCTTGTGCTGATTTTTCTTTTTTTTAAATTTATTTATTTATTTATTTTTTAATATATTTTGATTTTTTTACAGAGAGGAAGAGAGAGAGATAAAGAGTTAGAAACATTGATGAGAGAGAAACATCCATCAGCTGCCTTTTGCACATCCCCTACTGAGGATGTGCCCGCAACCAAGGTACAACATGCTCTTGACGGGAATCGAACCTGGGACCTTTCAGTCCACAGGCTGATGCTCTATCCACTGAGCCAAACCGGTTTCGGCTGTGCTGATTTTTCTTAACAGCCAACATCAGTTAACGGGTTAAATAGGATGCTCCCGTCTATTTGTAGATTTGCACTAATGGGAGTAGCATGAGACACAGTTTGTATTAATTAAATAATGAAAGTTACTATCTGTTCCCTGAATATAACTTCTATCCTGCAGCTGCATTCAAAGAAAAAAAAAAAAATGTATTCAGATTTTTTTTTTTTTTAATGTTAACTATATTGTTAGGACTATTTTTTGTGGACAAGTCATTATAATATCTCATGTGCTAGACAGTGTTGTAGATTAGGTGATGAAGTAACTGCAACTTTGAAGCACCAAACAGTTTTTATTTTAAATGGTTTTGATGGAAATCTTTCCACAATGTATTAGAGGTTTTCCTGTTGACAGGAATTCAGAAACAATGCTTTTGGTGTTTTCTATTCCCTCCCATTGTTCTGGCATTTGTTTTCTTTGTTAATCCTCACCTGAGAATATTTTCCCATTATTTTTGAGAGAGAGTAGGAGGGAGGGGAAGACACAGAGACAGACATATCTATGGGTTGTTTCCGACCAGGGCCAGGGATTGAGTCTCCAACTGAGGTGTGTGCCCTTGACCGGAATTGAACCTGAGACCCTTCAGTCTGCAGGCCGATGCATTTGAGGGGCCTGTGGAGGGGCCTCTCTCACCTCAGTGCAAGAGCTCACCTTCTCCTGCAAGATGGTCCCTTGGAGGAAAGAAAGCGCAGTTTCTAGGAGTGTTGAAAACCAAATGATTTTGAAATTCCATGTTCACTGAACACCAGATGAAACCCATACATTCAGATGAACATGAGCACAGGAATATAGATAACAGACTTGAGAGCTTTGCCACTCCTGAAAGCCTACCCTGTTTCCACGAAAATAAGACAGTGTCTTATATTAATTTTTTCTCCCAAAGTTGCGCTAGGTCTTATTTTCAGGGGATGTCTTATCTTTCCATGCACTAGGTCTTATTTTTGGAGGATGTCTTATTTTCGGGGAAACACGGTAAGCCTCATTCTAGATGTTTAGACTGCGTAAGTATAGTTGAAGAAGATGTAATGATATTGCAAGATGTAAAAGAAAGCCTCTCAGTGACTTTAAGAGAAAAACCATCATCTGGAAGTTGTGATTCAGAGGAGTATGCATCAATAATATGGATAGAATTAGGAACAGGTGAAAGTATCCAGATGCAAAGACAAAATAGATCAGCTATGGAAAGAGCATCTTTGCTTATGATCGATATATTGAACAAGTTCCAAGGCACCTTTAACAACCTGGCATTCATCCCAAGACCTCCAGCGAAGTTAAAATACTTCTTAACTTAAGATAATCAACAATCATGGGACCAGCAGGTCAACCTGGGAGGTTGCTGTGCAGTTTTGGGATTTTCCAGTTAAAGAGGGATGTGATTTGTAAGAAATTAGTCCTATATAAACCTTGGTGAAATGGGGACAGAATCTACAGACAGTACCTCTGAATCCCATGAGCTCTTGGGATGACTTTGCTATGTATTCTGGACTGTCAGGGGGAGGATGAGTTTGATTTGAAAGACTTCCCAGCTATGAGCTAATTGGGCTCGTGGAAGCCACTGAGAAAACAGTTGCTTCCACCCAGCTGGAATGTCTCATAGCGTGCATTGTGCCTTTATAACGGGTGGTTTCTCTGTTAATAGTTTATTATCTTATGATGCATTGTCATTCTGGTCTTATTTTCATTAAGAAATATTAATTTTATGTGTAGTGATTTATGCATGTTTTTATTATAAATGGATCTAAATCGAAAGAAGATTGAACTTTAATTTTATAGTGAACTTAATTGCTTAATTCCTATCAGCCTCCAAATTAACTTGACAAGATAGTCTTAACTGGTTTTCCACAGTATTTTTAATATTAAAGTGCCACTTGTCAGATTGCTTGGTTCTGAACTTAACCATGTATTCATAGAACCAATTTGGAGTCAGGTTTTTCTTGCTGGTATATTTCAGAAATGTATATCTTTCATATTTTCATGAAACATAATTTTTGGCCCTTTGTCAAGATTGTCTGTCATTGTAGCTCCTTTCCCTCACACAGAACACTAAATAGACAAAAATGGTTGTTTGAGCTGTTGAAATTACTGGGTTTTATGTACGTTACTCAGTTTCAATTTGATATTTGTGAATAGTCCTACTTAGCTTTTCTACCTGTAATGCTCTAAGAGTTAAGGCTGTGGAAGGAACTTAGACATTTTATTTTTACATCCAGTTAATTTACCATGTAAAATTTTTTGTAACTAGCAATGTGTACAGATTCTTTCTTCAAATATTTAGTTGTAAACTTTTTGTTAAGACTGTTATGTTTGTATGTAATTAGATTGAGAAAAGAAAAAGAATCTTTGGGCAGTAATAAAACCATCATCAGGTGTGGTCTTACTCTGAAGAGGAGCCAGTATGCAAGAACAGCAGGTTGAGGGTATGTGTTACTAGGTATAGACTGTGAGAGCAAATGATTGAGGGAGAGAAATTGTATTGGGGAGAAATCTTGGAACCCTTTTTGAGAGTTGATAATCACAAGAGGCTTTTGAGGATAGGAGCCTGGTGCATGGCGTTCATGCACTGAGGGGGGAGGGAGAAATCCCTCAGCCAGCCTTTGCTCTCTTACAGTCCAGGACCCCTCGGGGGGTGTCCGCAGAGGTTTCCTTAGCACTGCCACAGAGGCAGGAGAGGCTCCTGTCACCGCTGCTGAGCTTGCCAGCCGTGAGCCTGGCTTCTGTTTGAGCCTGGTTCCTGCTTTGAGCATCTGCCCCCTGATGATCAGTACGTGTCATAGCAACTGGTTTTTCCACCATTTGGTCAATTTGCATATTTGCCTTTTATTATATAGGATAGTGAAGTGGAACTGTGATGAAGTGCAGGACAGAGAACAGGTAATGAGAAATTGAAGGAAGTCTTGAATTCAAGTGTGTGTCTCTGTGCCCTCAATGATGGATTCTCCCCTACAGGTGTCTGGAGAGGTTCCGCTCAGACACACCCAGCTGTTTCTCTTTGTCTGCAATTGCTGACTGGTGCCTTTTTGAGGCAACAGTGGCCAGAATAAGTTGCCCTGGTATTGTCATATGTAACATTACTTCTGTTATTTCTTTTCAAGGAGATGTCTTTGCTTCCACTTTCCTCATTAAAAATGGGGCCCACGTCAGTGCTGCTACCTTGAGTGCTCAGGAGACACCGTTGCACCTAGTGGCATTGTACAGTTCAAAGAAACACTCAGCAGATGTGATGTCTGCAATGGCACAGATTGCAGAGGCCCTTCTGCAGGCTGGTGCCAATCCCAACATGCAGGACAGCAAGGGCAGGTGAGTGGGTGAGCAAACAGACTGTTCTTAGCCCCATTCCCAGTGGCGTGTAACGGGCAGGCAGGGACGTGATGTTCTTTGGTTGGCATTATTCAATCTGATTTTTATTCAGGTCACATACATTCATTTGATACACAAATGAGAGACATGACTAAGGCCTGAGGCATTTGGGGAAATCATTTCCATCTTAGATAACTGAGGTCCTTGGATTTTTAAGCGATTTCTATTCTCCTCAGAGTGGTCATCTGGTTCAGTGGCTTCAACGGAACCTTCTTCTAGCTTCTGTTAGAGTTTCTTGGGTAAATTGAAGAAGTAGAACACACCCTCTCAGGCAGCCTGTTTTATTTCTGTGAGCTCTCATTGCTGGGAAATTCTGCATGTTAGACCCAGTTCTACCTTCTCCTAAATACTTGCATTTAGACAAGTCTATCTGCACAGCTTGCCACTTCTTCCTCAGCACAGCCCTTTGCACATTTGACAGTAGCAGTTGTACACCATTTGCCCCTTCCCAGAAATATTTACTGAAGGTACCTTGTGGTTTAGAATCTAAGAAAGGGCTGCCTGTTTGGGGGACAGCAGTGTGTGTGTGTGGGGGGGTGAATCACCTAAATCACCCCTTTTCATCATAGCAACTCAGTATTTTATAACTTTGAAAACTCTCTCAAAAAAATAAGAGTTGTGTGAAGTTGTCAGAATAGGGAAAGAGATTTGTGTGATGGACAAAATACTTAAATAAGATGGATCTCCACAAACTCTCAATATCATGTGATAATTATTTTATTACCCAAACATAATTGCCTTCCTTTTTTTCTCCTGTTGATTCTTTGTCCCCACCCCTGTCGGCTGCAGTAAACTCTGGCAGTCTGTAACTCGGTGACATGCCAGTCTGGGAGGCCTGGGCCTGGGCTCCATAGTGGCGGTCTCCTTCAGGCTACTCGAGGGCCAAAGAAAACAATGAGGTGTGGTTAACGGACACTTCAGTTAGTTCCTACCTGTTGCCACTCTTGAATGTGTTTGAGTACAACAGAGAATTATGGAATGATAAAAATTGTTTTTTTTTTTTGTTTGTTTGTTTGTTTTTAATCCTCACTCAAGGATATGTTTATTGTTTTTAGAAAGAGGAAACCAGGAGGTCTTAGGATGGGAGGCGGGGGTGGAGGGTTTGGGGGGGAGGGGGAGAGATGGGAAAAAGCATTGATGTGAGAAACATTGATCAATTGCCTTTTGTACACGCTCCAACTGGGGACTGAACCTGAAATCTGGGTATGTGCCCTAACCAGGAATTGAACTTGCAACCTTTTGGTGTATGGGACGACACTCCAAGCAACTGAGCCACCCAGCCAGGGTGAAACTGATGCTTTAAAAACATGAATATAGGCACAATCAGTAAGGGTCAGGATTTAATTGGAGACTATTTATATCTCTTCCTTTTATTCTTATCCTTTAGGCTGCTGAATAATGAAGATTAACATATAAGCAAATCCATTTTCATTCTTTGCTACTTGGTTATGGTTTCGGACACTTTGCCATGTAGAAATGTGGATGGCGATTCTGGTTGCCTCCTGCTGCGGCTTCTGCTGTGCGCGGTCGGGGCCATCCTGACTGACACCTCTCCTCCTTCCTCCTGCAGGACTCCCTTACACTTGTCTATCGTGGCCAGGAACGAATACGTGTTCAATCAGTTGCTGCAGTGTAAACAGTACGTAGGGAGACACGGAGAAATGAAAAAGCAGTTGTGAGGGTGGGATTGTGAGTGAAACATAATTTTTAAAATGTCTTTTAGTGTTGTACATTTTAATAATTGAAAATAACTTTTAGAAAATAATCATTCAGCAAATATTCAGAGAAAGAATGAGGCTGCTGTCAGAACAGTGTCTGAAGAAAGCATTTGCTGCTCACATTGCTTCCTCGTTTCAGATTAGACTTAGAACTGAAAGACCACGAGGGCAGCACAGCTCTGTGGCTGGCGGTGCAGTACATCACCGTGTCCTCCGATCAGTCCGTGAACCCCTTCGAAGACCTCCCTGTGGTCAACGGAACCTCATTTGATGAAAACAGCTTTGCAGCGAGACTCATTCAGCGGGGCAGCAACACCAACGCACCTGACTCTAAAACAGGTAAAGCATGGTCCCTGAGGCCAAGAGCTGGTGCCCAGGTCTGGAGGCTCCATGGAATGCAGTGCTAATGATTTACCAAAAATTTAGAAACTTACTGACATATTATTAAGAAGTGTTCTTACTTAATTTTAATTATAGAGGAAGTCCAAGTTATTTTATTTTAATATTGTGCTTCAAAAAATTTGCCTGGCTGGAGAGGCTCACTGGTTGAGCATTGGCCTACGACTCAGGAGGTCATGGCTTGATTCCTGGTCAGGGTACATGCCCGGGTTGAGGGCTCAATCCCCAGTGTTGGGTGTGCAAGAGGCAGCCGTCAGTGGTTCTCTCTCATCACTGATATTTCTCTCTCTCTCCCCCTTCCTTTCTGGGGGGAAAAAAAACTTTAGCCAGATTTTGAGTTGTGTGCATTAAGCTGAAATGCAGTGAGTTATAGACTTTTTGGATTCAGAACTCCTTTTACCCTCATAAAGAGCTTTTGTTTTAGTGGGTTGTATTTTTTACTTTTATTGTATTAGAAGTTAAAACTGAGCTAAACCATTTTAAAACAAGAAGGAAAAAAATTTTTGTTTTATTTAGAAAAGAGTGATAATACTAAACAAAATATTTCTAAGCCAGTGGTTGGCAAACTGTGGTTCAATAGCCACATGTGGCTCTTGAGCCGTGGTTTGCCATTCTGTTGACTAATGAGTTTGCCGACCACTGCTGTAAGGCATTAATTACCCTTACCCAGAAGTTTTGATTTCAGGTTAAAGACATTAGTACATTATTAAAATGTTTTTTTAAGTGTTTTTCCCTAAGGCAGTGCTCAGCAAACTCATTAGTCAACAGAGCGGCAAATGCGATTCCAAGCAAAAGAAACATTTGAGGCCCCAAGAGTAAAAGTGAAGTATTTAAGGGGCATTTTCTGGTAGCATTTAGGTCGTAGTGTCTTCAAAATAGACTTCCAACTCAGAGTTTCTCAGACATGGACAACTCCCCCTCCTTACCCTCAGCTTCCCACCCTGGCCATTGGGCATCACCTGTAATCATTTTAAAAATATATATATATTTTATTGATTTTTTTACAGAGAGGAAGAGAGAGGGAGAGTTAGAAACGTTGATGAGAGAGAACCATCGACCAGCCGCCTCTGGCACACCCCCTACTGGGGATGTGCCCACAACCCAGGTACATGCCCTTGACCAGAATCGAACCTGGGACCTTTCAGTCCACAGACCGACGCTCTACCACTGAGCCAAACTGGTTTCGGCTGTAATCATTTTTTATTGTCATAGCAAGGTTGGGGATGCTGCTGTCATCTAGTGGGCAGAACCCAGGAGTACTGCTAAACATTGTGCGGTGCCTCATAGCAAAGAATTACCTGACCCAGAATGCCAGTAGCACTGCTATTGAGAAGTGTGTTCTAATCCAGTCCAGTACTGAGACCTCACTTCCCTCTGGTCCTGGGCAGTGGCTAGTGCAAACCCAGCTTCTCCAGTCTCCGGACTATCCAGGAGAGGGCCTGTGTGGACTGGAATAGAGCCTCTTTAGGTGTGGGCTTGTCGGTTGTGAAAGGTGGTGGGGTGGTCAGGGTTTGGTGCATTGTGGAACTTGACCTCATTGTTATGCAAATGGAGAATGAATATGCCTCCTTTCTCCTAGGAAATTGCTTACTGCAGCGGGCAGCTGAAGCAGGAAATGAGGCAGCAGCTCTTTTCCTGGCAACCAGTGGTGCCCACGTCAACCACAGAAACAAGTGGGTAAGTGGCAGGGCCAGCAGGGAGCGGTTTTGGTCTGTGGAAGAGATGACAGTGGCAGTTTGAAGGGGAAAATGGAATGGATTCTTTTTTTTCAATTTGTCTCTAAGTAATCTGTACACAGTATTAAAAAAGAGTGAAACAGAATCTTGTATCCTCAAATATTGTTGATTCCTTGACTCATTCAGCAACCATTTCCTAAACATTTATGGTATATTAGGTTGGAAACTACATGTACATATATATTGGCTGCCTCTTGTACACCCCCTGCAGGGGATCAAGCCCACAACCCAGGCATATGCCTTGGACCAGAATTGAACCCGGACTTTCAGTCTGCAGGCCGATGCTCTGTTTACTAAGCCAAACTGGCTAGGGTGTTTTTGAATATTGAATCAAGTACCTATCATAACAACTTAAAATGTTTTTAAGGTTTTTTTTAAAATGTATGTTTTTATTGGTTTCAGAGAGAGAAAGGGAGAGAGGGAGACAAACATCAATTTTTAATACTGTGTACAGATTACTTAGAGAAAAATTGAAGGAGAGTATCATTGATCGGGAGCCCATAACCCAGGCATGGAACTGACCTCCTGGTTCATAGGTCATTGCTCAACCACTGAGGCACATCGGCCTGGCAAGGCTCTTCCATTTTCTGTAGCATTTATTTTAATGACACTTGTAATAGTCATCTATTATTTTTATAATTATAGCTAATTATAAAAACAAAGTGAAGGGTGGTTAAGAAGGTCATTGAAAATGCAGAAGATGATTTGCCAGAAGGTTGGATGGGTACCTGGGAAGACATTGACGAGTCTAGGGGTGGTGGCACAGGGGAAAGGGAAGAGAGGTGACCGGGAGGAGTGGGACAGAAGTCGTGGAGGCCAGCTGGTGACAGGATGAGCCAAGGGCTGTGACTACCTCTGGGATCTGAGTTTCACTTGGGGAGAACTCCCAGCCTGAAAGTGCTCTGCTTTGGATCACGTGTTTCTGTTCAGGGAGAAACGCCGTTGCACACAGCCTGTAGGCATGGCCTGGCTAACCTCACCGCAGAGCTCCTGCAGCAAGGCGCCAACCCAAACCTGCAGACCGAGGAAGCTCCGCCTCTGCCGAAGGAGGCTGCGTCCCCGGCCAGCTCCGTGGGCAGCGTCTACCTGCAGACGCCGCTGCACATGGCCATCGCCTATAATCACCCAGATGTGGTGTCTGTCATCCTGGAACAAAAAGGTGGGTGGTGGGAACCGCCGCCTGCCGCCGTGACCTGAGGGTGGTGGTGCTGAGGAGGTCGTTACAGAGGTGATGGTTCTTTCCTTGGCGAGAGTTTCAGGTGAACTAGAAAAGCGTATGGTCTGGCCCCTGTCTACAGTGTACAATTTCAGGATGGGGCCTGCCCATTTCACCCACCGGGTTCAGGTGTTAGGACCTTTGATTCTTTCCTCTATTTTGGGGCGTTTGCCCGGCATTTCTGTGGAGGTCAAGCAAAGCTTTGCTTTGGTGTGAGCCCTGCCTTGGAGAATTCTGCTGTGGCAGGTCCTCTACAGTCACCAGTCCTCTCTGCCTCTGAGCCCTCCTGGCAGTGAGCCATGAGATAAGAGCCGAAAAGAGGGGTCCAGGGAAGCCCCCGCAGGGGGAGGCCCGTTCCCCTCAGAAAGTCAGCCTCAGCGTTCTCTCCTGTCCCCGGCTTAGGGTGACTGTCACCTGTGTCCTGGTGAAGGCTCGCTCTTTGGAGGGAATGGGGTTTTGGGTAGAATGCACCTTTTCTTGGTCCTCACAGGAATGGTAAGATGGTAGGAATTACCTTTAGGAAAACATTGCCGAGGCATGGTTTTGATCCTTTCCCACAATCAGGTAATAAACATGTGTTTCCACAGTGGAGCCTAATTTCCTTTTATGAAGATTCAATGTTTTAAGCTTTAAAATTTTTCATTACCCCCATAAGCTTAGCTCTGTGTTAGATTTCTTGGCTTCCACTCTCCACAAGAAGATTTATCAGTTTGTATTTTAGCCAGTCAGTTTGAAACTGATCTCTTACTCTCTTGGATACTTTATTGTTTTAATATATATATTTTTATTTAAAATATTACATATAAGTACATATATCTTCTTGGATACTTTAAATTTGAACCATGGGATGGTAAAATAAGTGTTCTTTTCTTTTCTTTTAAAAAAATTTAGCTAATGCTCTTCATGCCACCAACAACTTGCAAATTATTCCGGACTTCAGCCTCAAGGATTCCCGAGACCAGACTGTGCTGGGCCTGGCCTTATGGACAGGTAAGGCTGTGCGAGAGGCTGTTGATGCCTGCAGACAGACAGGTGGCAGGAGGGAGGGAGTGAGGGAGAGAGGAAAAGAAGCAAGGAGGTGGTGGGGCTTGGTTATAATATAATCTTCCTGTTTGGGTTAAACCTGTAATATCCAGTTTAAAAACTGCCGGCTTTGAGAAGTGGAGAGGGTGTGTTTGTTGCAGTAAGAGGCTGGAGGAGTGGGGACATGCATTAACCAGGGCTTGCTTATTTCCCAGGCATGCACACGATCGCAGCCCAGCTGCTGGGCTCCGGGGCAGGCATCAACGACACCATGTCGGACGGGCAGACGCTGCTGCACATGGCCATTCAGCGGCAGGACAGCAAGAGCGCGCTCTTTCTCCTGGAGCACCAGGCGGACATCAACGTCAGGTGGGCTGAGCCTCGGCAGCGCCAGGTCAAAAGCATAGCCCTGCTTTTAGCACCTACTGTCGTCCTTGTTAGATAAGGGAGGAGACCAGGATCTGAAGTTAATGCGGTGCAGAAACTGGGTGTAATTGGACACTCCTGCTCTTCCCCCCCCCCACTTGCACTGTCTCATTAAAAAGGACAGTCTCAAATCACTTGAGTAAGAATTCAGTTATAACGAAGATCATTCCAATAAATGAGCTGTCAAAAAGGCTTGAAGGGGAAATATGTACAGTTAAACTTGCATTGTTTTGAGATGCTGTTAAAAGCAGCTATATGCCCTTAATATTTCAACACCCTGGGATGTTGGTCCATTACCTTTTCTGTGACATAGAATGGCATGGCTATATTTTTTAAAAGATCTGGGACAGATGCTATTGACATACAACTGAAAGGATATTAATAATAATTAATGTGAATGAATTAGTTTAAGGCCTACAGTGGATTCAGGCCTCTGGGACGCCCAGAAGGGCACGCTTTGTTGTTGGCTTTCACTACAAATGCTGGTTTTGGTGTGCGTGTCCTAGCAGGACGCAGGATGGAGAGACAGCCCTTCAGCTGGCCATCAAAAACCAGCTCCCGCTGGTAGTGGATGCCATATGCACCCGAGGAGCTGACATGTCTGTGCCGGATGAGGAGGGAAACCCTCCATTGTGGCTCGCGCTGACCAATAATCTGGAGGACATCGCATCGACTCTGGTGAGTCAAACTCAACTTTAGCCTCTGGTTACTCATGGGGATATTTTGTGTCAGAGTTGGATTTGGTACCTACATAGTGGCCACAAGGAGCAAGAGGTTTGCCAGGTAACAAACGGAGCCAAGGACGAGCCTTAAAAAATCACACTAGAGAAATGTGCAGTTCGGCATGGTCTCCGATGACCTGTTTTGTAGACTCTTTTACCAAGAAAACTGCCAAGAAGCAAGGGTTTCCTCAGGAGTCTGCTCTGAGGTGGGTTAATCTGATGTGGGCTCCTCTGCGGTCACCAGGGTGACACATTCCCAAATCTCAGTTCTGTCTCCCTTGTTCAGAACGTAGCCCCCAAAGCAGAGGTAGCTCTGAAGTTACTAGCTTTTTGAAGAGCCTGAAATGTGACAGTAAGGCATTGGCGCCTGACTTTACTGTTACTGACTTTATCTGTTAATTATAGGTAGGTGTTACTGGGGCGTGTGTGTGTGTGTGTATGCACGCGTCTCCTTTCCTAGAACACAGCTCAAGAGGGCATTAATTAAACATATCTCTCAGATTTCCTAAACACATCATCACTTCAGGGACTTGTGCAGGCTTGCACAGAGCAGATTTTAATCATTGTTTGTAAATCTGATGAATGATTCAGATAAAAATCGTTATCAGTTAATTATTAACCGTGTCTTGCCTGAAAAATGAACCTAATGGTGTGCATAGAGCTCCGAGATGGTAATAAAAAGTTGGCCTTTTCCAGGCATTGTGTGAGTAACGTGTTTTTCTGCAGGTCAGACACGGCTGTGATGCCACATGCTGGGGCCCAGGACCTAACGGGTGCCTTCAGACACTCCTGCACAGAGCCATCGACGAAAACAACGAGTCCACCACCTGCTTCCTTATTCGCAGGTCTGAGAAGCCTAAGTATCTCTTCAAATCTTTTTTATTCAGCAAGACTGTTGGCTACATTCTTATTGGCCAGACTCCCCTAATTACGGCTATCAGAGGGTCACTGTCAAGTTAAGTCAGCCAAGAAATGTGACTCATTTGTGAGGAAAGAACCTTGAGTGCCCAGATCAAAGAATCTGCTGTCAGCCTCCTGCAGGCTGCTCATAGTCAAATCAGGCCAGTTTGCACAATGAAGCCAGGAGGCTAGGGGGTCAGGAGGGAAGCTGGAGACCAGAGGGCCTCTGCAGGACCCCCCCCATAGATACATAAGCCATAATGGCTCCATAGCTTCTTAGTACAGGCTGTGTGGGAAGTCATGCAGGAAACCTGTAGAGGTGGTTTTAAACTTGAAGTGCTTGCAGCTCCCCTGGGGAGATGTAGAGTTCTGCTGCCCAGGCTGTCCCCAAGACCATTTACTGCAGAACCTGTGGGAGGGGGGACCCAGACACTGACATTTGAGGCCAAGGCCAAGGACGGCAATCCTGGGGCAGAGCTTTTTGCTGGATTGGACAGGGCTGCTGCTGGAAGCTTATCTGCATGCCTGGAGGCTGGGTGGCAGCTTGGCACGTGGAGCCTTCCTTTCATTTCCTCCTCCTCTTCAGCGGCTGCGATGTGAACAGTCCCAGACAGCCCGGTGCTAATGGAGAAGGCGAGGAAGAGGCCAGAGATGGGCAGACGCCCTTGCATTTGGCAGCCTCCTGGGGACTGGAAGAGACAGTCCAGTGTCTTCTGGAGTTTGGTGCCAATGTAAATGCACAGGTATGGAGAGTTTCTCTTCTCCAGGGGGAATGCTGGTAACCCCAGAATTAGGGAAAAGCTCTTCTTTTGGCAAAGGGGTCTTGCAGATTCTCAATCCCGGGTCTGCTTTACCACAAATGGGGCTAAGCTGCAGACAGATGAAGTGATTCTCTGTGTCTTACAGCCTGCCTAGTCACTTTAATGATTTCACGTTGAGGTTTTCTTCTTTGTGCCTTGACCTTTCAACTTGGTTTAGCCTCCTATTCCTGCTAAAGATTTCCATTGAGAGTTCTACTCACAGGCTGCATACAGACAGTCCCCAACTCATGATGATTGACTTAATGATTTTTCATCTCTAGGATGGTACACAAGTGATACGCATAATTTAATCAATTACATGAGATTGTGTTAGATTATTTTTGCCTGGTTGTAAGCTAACGTAAGTGTTCTGAGCACATTTAAGGTAGGCAAGGTAAGTTACGGTGTTCTGTGGGTTGGGTGTGGTAAATGCATTTTCGACTTAAAAGGTACTTCACTTATGATAGGTTTTTTGGGGTGTAGCGCCATTGTAAGTTGAGGAGCATCTGGACAGTGTTCAGTGAAATGTTCCAGGAACTCAACTGAGCATCCCCGAGTCATGGTTCTTGATGCTTGTCGGTGCTCTAGCCTGTGATCATGGATGTGGGCGGCCCTGTAGTCAGTCAGAGGAGGAGGGTGTAACTTGGAGTTGAGGCTGACTGCAGAGCTTGTAAACAAGTGTGTGTGTGCCCGTAGGTCACTGGGTTGGGATGGGGAGTGACTTTTAGCCATCTCTGCTTGGCCTCAGAGCTGATTTCAAACACAGGGTGGCAGTATTGATTCTGAGAACCAAATTTGGTTTAAAAGTTATCCCCCTTTATATTTTCCCTGAGTTTTATCGTTCATTTGAAGATTGAAATCTGTGCCCTGTCCCTGTAGGATGCAGAAGGAAGAACACCTATTCACGTGGCCATCAGCAACCAACATAGTGTCATCATTCAGCTGTTGATCTCTCACCCTGACATCCTCTTGAATGTCCGAGACAGACAAGGGCTGACCCCTTTTGCCTGTGCCATGACTTACAAGAACAACAAGGCGGCCGAGGCCATCCTGAAACGCGAGTCTGGGGCTGCAGAGCAGGTGAGTGCCCAGCACCCAGCCTTCTCTTCGGTGTCCCGAGCAGGGCAGAGCCTGTTCCATGGAGACTAAACGTATGTCTCCAGCCGTATAGGTCTCTTCTATGTAAAGACATTGTTTTGAAATGATACTCCCCTTTCTTAAAACCTGACCATTTAGATGTCCTGTCAGTGCGGGATGAGGTTAGACTGTTGTGCTCTGTGTGTCGCCACATAATGGTGTCTCATGTGCAACTGAGGCCACTCTTGCCTTTGCTTGGTTGCTTAATTGCCCTAGTAATGCATATGTTTAAGAGATTGAAATTGAACTTGAGCTTTTGGCGTGATTTGTGGCAACTTCCTGTGTATTTTAAGAAGTTAAGTTGTTAGCATTCTCTTAGCAGGCTCAGTTGTCCTGTTTGTTCTGGATGGTGAACTGTTGACCTGAAACAGCAGATTGGGTGGGAAATGACAGCAGCAACTGATCTGAGGTGGGAGCTGGGACAGGTTTGCTAGAGTCTCTGTTGAGCACTTAGTATACTGCCGAGATGTTAAGTAGCCATTTATAAAGGTAGATGGAAACTTGGGACCTTGCAACAATCTCAGATAGTTGAAGAGTGTTGCTTGGTGTTCAGACTTCTGTACGTTGTGTGTGTCTTCAGCATTTCCGTAAGTGTGGCTGCTTCGTGCAGGTGTAACCTCACCATTGCTCATGTAAAATGTGCAAGAATGGACACGTTGCTTCTCAGTCTGGTGTGAAACTGGCACTGTTGACCAGAGCCCTTTGCAGGTACATGGCTGTGACACAGCATACAGTGTGGAGATGTGTTAGGGATTTTGTGTGTGTGCAGCATGTCGGAGTCTCCCTCACTTCTCACTGAGCACTCATACTGAGGAGGCAGCTCTTTTACAACTGCAGGACTCTCTGTAGTTTGATTTGAGTGAGCTTTTGTCTGCTTTATATTTTAAAAATATATATATTTTATTGATTTTTAGGAATCAATAAAATGAGAGGAAGGGAGAGGGATAAGAAAGCTAGAGAGGAAGGGAGAGGAATAAGAAAGCTAGAAACACCGATGAGAGAGAAACATCGATCTGCTACCTCCTGCACACCCCCTACCAGGGATGTGCCCGCAACCAATGTACATACCCTTGACTGGAATCGAACCTGGGACCTTTCAGTCTGCAGGCCCATGCTCTATCACTGAGTCAAACCGGTTTCGGCTGCTTTACATCTTGAAACAAAGTTTGCGTTACACTGTTGGCTGCCTCCCCAATATGTACTGTCCTCCTGTAGCTCTATAAAAGAGGAAACTTTCTGCAAGTTCTGAAGATTTGTTTGACTGTTTGAAGTCAGGCCGGCATTGCTGCTGTGGTGCTAGGATGCTGGGTGCCTGTCTTAGCCAAAGCAAGGGGCTCCCAAAGTTCATCTCCACCCTTGCCTTCCCCTGATATGGCAGCGTGTTGGTGCCTTCCTTTCCCGGGACTTCAGGTTGTCTGTTTCTTGGCTTTCCCAGTCTAGCTCCTGCTGCGCAAGGCACCAGCACAGCTGGGCCAGGGCAGTGGCTGCCTTTCCCAGCCCGCGAGGATGACTGTGCACACACGGGTATGGGCACACATACATTCAGTAGTTTGTTTGGGGTGGGGCCTTCCTGGAACTGAGGAAAGGATATACCATGACTCCTCCAGTGGTCAGAGCAGCCCGCAGGTGCACAAGGAGCTACTCTTGCATGGGGAGCCCACTCATATTTTGGTCCCTAATTTTTGCTCAGGTGGATAACAAGGGCCGGAACTTCCTTCATGTGGCCGTTCAGAACTCGGATATTGAGAGTGTCCTGTTCCTGATCAGCGTTCAGGCGAATGTGAATTCCAGAGTCCAGGATGCTTCCAAGTTGACCCCTTTGCACCTTGCTGTCCAAGCAGGCTCAGAGATCATCGTCCGCAATTTGGTAAGTGTGGCCGAAACATTACATGAAACATGCAGACAAAGCATGTGGTAGAGTGTGTGCAGATCTCTCATTACTGCGAAAGGCCAGTGCACATTTGGGGAGTAAGTGTGCCAGGGAAGCAGGTGTGTTAGCAGATCCTAAGTCCCAGCGGGCTGCCTGGGCAGGCAGGTGCTGAGTGAGGCCGTGAAGGAAAGTAGGATTTGGGTGGCAGAGGCGGGGGGGAGCATCTAGGGAAAGGAGATCCCCTTCTGGTCGCCTGCACTGTGTCAGGCGCTCAGCTGGGGCTTTCGAGTGCACCTGTTTGCGCTTGCTCTCTTTCCTCCTCTCTCTTTTTTAAAGTGAGGTATAATTAATATATACATTAGTTTCAGTTATGTAACATATTGATTCAATATTTGTAAAATGACTACCACAATAAATCTAACATCTGTCACCATATATAGTCACACAAATTTTTCTTTGTGTGTGATGAGGTCTTTTAAGAATTATTCTTTGCAGTTTTCAGCCAGGACTGGTTTGGCTCAATGGATAGAGCGTCGGCTTGGGGACTGAAAGGTCCCGGGTTCGATTCCGGTCAAGGGCATGTACCTTGGTTGCGGGCATATCCCCAGTAGGGGGTGTGCAAGAGGCAGCTGATTGATGACTCTCTCTCATCAATGTTTCTAACTCTCTATCTCTCTCCCTTCCTCTCTGTACAAAATCAATAAAATATATTTAAAAAAAAAAAAAAAAAGAATTATTCTTTGCAGTTTTCAAATATACAATAGTATTAGTAACTGTAATCACCATGCTATGCATGGCTCCCGTGACTGACTTACTTTCTAACTGTAAGTTTATACCTTTCACCCATTTTGCCTACCACATCCTCTGGCAACTACCAAAATCTATTCTCTGTGTCTGTGAGCTTGGGGCTTTTTTGTTTTGTTTTGTTTTTTTAATTCCACATATATGTGAGATCATAATGATATTTGCCTTTCTTTCACTTACTTAGTTCACATAGCATAATGCCCTCAGTGTTCATCCAAGTTGTCACAAATGGCAAGATTTCATTCTGGTTTTATTTTTTTTTGTAATTTTTTTTTTTTTTTAAAAATATATTTTCATTGATATTAGAGAAGAAGGGAGAGGAGAGAGAAATGGAATATCATTGATGAGAGAGAATCATTGGTTGGCTGCCTCCTGAACACCCCACTGGGGATTGAGCCTGCAACCCAGGCACCTGTCCTGACCCGGAATCGAACTGTGACTCCCTTAAACAGAGGTCAATGCTCATTCACTGAGCAACGTTGGCCAGGATCATTCTGTTTTAATGGCTGAATAGAATTCCATTGTGTGTGTATATGTTGTATATTTATATAGTCTATATGTATACATTATGTATATGTGTGTGTATACACTGTATACATATAATACATGTTGTATATACATGCACACAGTAGCTTCTGTACCCATTAACCCACTGATGGACACGTAAGATGTCTCTGTATCTTAGCTATTGTGAATGATGCTGCGTGAACATAGGGGGCATTTCATCAGTCTGCCTGCCACACTGAGAGCCTAAGGAGGTTGGAAGGTCCCTTCACCAAGGTCGTGCTCTGCCTTACCAAGTCCTGAGCTCGCAGCGACAGGAGTAGGAATAGCAGATCTCCCAGTGACCATTCCAGTCCTTCCTCTGAGAATTGTAAAGCTTAATGTTAGAATCGATTCGCATTGCATAAAGCCTTTACCCAAACTCTCCCTCTCCCCCACTTAACCAACCTAGGGTCAGCTATGGTCCCTAGCACTTGTGACCATGAATACCCCTCAGTGCTATGTCCTATCTGGACCTATGAATGACTCGAAGCCCAGAAGCTGGTTTGCCTGGGACTGGAAAGTTGGGGTGAGAGGCAGAGCAGCTAGCCAGTGCCAGAGTTTCCCAGAGGCAGAGCACCTGCACACAGACAGGAACTAGGTGCCTCAGCCCTCAGGGGAGCAAACGGCTCTGACGGCAAACTGCAGATTCTTTTCTGTTAATAGCAAAGTCTGTGAAACTTTATCAGAAAGTGGGTTATGAATTTCAAATTCTAAGCTAACAGATATTATTTAAAGGTCCTTCCTGCCTTTAATTCTGTTATGGTCTTTTTTAAAAAAAATAATGTAAAAGTAGTACATGCTCTCCCCGGCCAGTTTGGCTCAGTGGGTTGGAGTGTTGTCTCATGCACCAAAGAGTTGTGGGTTCTATTCCCAAGCAGGGCACATACCTAAGGTTTGGATTCAATCTCAGGTCGGGAGGTACCCATCAATGTTCCTCTCTCTCTCACATTGATGTCTATCTTTCTTCCCTCCCCTCCCTCTCCCTTCCCTCTTAAGAAAAAATAGTGCATTCTTATTGTGAAAAACTTAAAGCATATAAGGATATATAGCAAAAAGTATCTCTCTTGCACCCTCAACTCTTCCTCTGAGTTTGGTATACCGTATTTTCCGGCGTATAAGACGACCCCCCTAATTTTACAGTTAAAACAGGTTTAGCCGCTGTATAAGACTACCCCCCACTTCAAAGAAAAGACTTACTTTGCCGTCAAGATCTGCAATTTTGGTCTTTTGCCCCCAATTTTCGGTTGACTTCTTTTCGTTTCAAAAGTCGTTTTATACGCCGGAAAATACGGTATTTATTTTTTAAAATATTTTATTGATTTTTTTTTTTTTTTGCAGAGAGGAAGGGAAAGGGATAGAGAGCTAGAAACATCGATGAGAGAAGAACATCGACCAGCTGCCTCCTGCACACCCCCCACCGGGGATGTGCCTGCAACCGATGTACATGCCTTGACCAGAATCGAACCCGGGACCTCTCAGTCCGCAAGCTGATGCTCTTTCCACTGAGCCAAACCAGTTTCGGCTGGTATATATGTTTTTAAACACTTTCAGTTTCTATGTTTATGTGTGAATGTATATATATTTCTTTCTCTCCCCAAATGGATAATACTATCATACTGCCTCCTAATTTGACTTTTTTATTTAAATATTCTAATATTTTATTTATTTAAAATATTTTTTAATTGATTTCAGAGAGGCAGGAAGAGGGAGATATAGAAACATCAGTGATGAGAGAGAATCACTGGTTGGCTGTCTCCTGCACTCCATACACTGGGCCCACAACCTGGGCATGTGCCCTGACTGGGTGGGAATCGAACCGTGACCTCCTGATTTGTAAGTCAACACTCAACCACTGAGCCATGCCAGCCAGGCTATATTGTCATTTTCATAACTAAATCCTTTTTGCAATCTGGTTTCACTTTTTTAAGTAATGGACATCCTTAATAGTGAACATTCATTGCAGTCTTGTGTTATTTTATGTACTGATGTTTACAAGTAGAAATGTCTGTGTCATAAGGAATGCCTTAAAAAAAAAAAAAAAAAAATATATATATATATATATATATATATATATATATATATATATATATATATATATAAAATTGATTTTTTACAGAGAGGAAGGGTGAGGGATAGAGAGTTTGAAATATCGATGAGAGAGAAACATCGATCAGCAGCCTCCTGCACAGCTCCTACTAGGAATGTGCCCACAACCAAGTACATGCCCTTGACCAGAATCGAATCTGGGACCTTTCAGTCCACAGGCCGATGCTCTATCCACTGAGCCAAACCGGTTAGGGCAGGAATGCCTTTTTAACATTTTGATGATTGTCTGTTTGTCCTTGGGGCAGGTTTTGCTGGCTTACGCCTTGAGTGTTTGTGAGGCCCTTTGCTCCCAGCTTTGCTAGCAGGACAGACTCCGTGGATGTCAGAGTCAGGCAGGCTTGCCCTCCTTGAGTGGGATCTTGGTTGGTTGTGGCAAAGAGGCCGCTCATGTAATCAACTTCATCAGCTTCTTGCAGGAGCCAAAGTGAACGAATTAACCAAGCACCGCCAGACCGCCCTCCACCTCGCTGCCCAGCAGGACCTGCCCACCATCTGCTCGGTCCTCTTGGAGAACGGAGTGGACTTTGCCGCTGTGGACGAGAATGGAAATAATGGTAATTCCCAGTCTTTCCCCTTTGTCCAGTGCTGGGTGCCTTAGCAAACCCTCCAATCTAGGGGTGGAGGTGCACGGACTCGTGGGTCTGCTCCCCCTCAGGGAGGCTGGCTGTCATAGGAGCAGAGCATGGTAGGGAAGGCTCTGAGCTGGGCATCCAGCATGCCACTGTCCAGGGTCTGGGCAGCCTGCGATCCGAATGGTAACCCCTAAAGCCAGAAGTGGCTTCTTCTGAAACCATTAAAGCTCATTTTGGGGTAACTGTGGAAGCAAAAAGCAAAGTCTTGTAAGGTTGCATTTATGGCTCATTCTTGGGTGGTGAATACTGGAAAGGATGTGAGTGGACCATGGCTGCTCTGTCTGCGTTCCTTTTAGAACAAGGTTTGTGAGGGTGAGGAGCAGTCCAGATTTCCTGTGTGTGCTTCTCGGCTTGCACAGTAAGAGGCTCTATTCCCTAGCTCTTCATCTTGCTGTCATGCACGGTCGGCTCAACAACATCCGAGTCCTCCTGACTGAGTGCAACGTGGACGCCGAAGGCTTTAACCTGAGGTGAGTGTGCGAGTTCCAGAGCAGAGGCCAGTGCACCACGTGCTCTGCTGCCCCTTGAAGCTGGCGGTCACTGGTGTCACACTGCTGAACCAGCCACTGTGACCCTGTGCCAGGTTTTGGTGCCCGGGAATTTTCCTTTTTGCATAATACTTTCTAGAAAAACTTTTATGGCCTATTACGTGTCCTTTGATTTGTCCAGCATCATAGAATTCAGAAAATCCCATTTCTTTTCTGGGTGAAGGCAGTGGCAGATACATACCTAACTTTTCTTTTTTTTTTTTTTTTTTTTTTAATATATTTTATTGATTTTTTTTTTTACTGAGAGGAAGAGAGAGGGATAGAAAGTTAGAAACATCGACGAGAGAGAGTCATCGATCAGCTGCCTCTTGCACACCCTCCACTGGGGATGTGCCCGCAACCAAGCATACCTAATTTTCAACTTGCTTTGTCAGAGGCCAGTCGCCACTGCACATTTTGGGACAATATGGCAAAGAGAATGCAGCGGCCATCTTTGATCTCTTCTTAGAGTGCATGCCTGATTATCCTCTCGATAAACCGGATGCAGAAGGAAACACAGGTAAGTAATGAGCTGTGTGTGTGTCCTGTCTCCTGTATTCCTAAGAGCCCAGGCACACATGGTGCTGTATAAACGGCAGTGTCTGGCTTTAGGCCCAGCACATGTATATCTGCTATCTGGTGCTCCACAGCCAGACCCTTGTCCAAACAGGCCCGCCCGCCTGTTCTTGTTGCCCTCATGTACCTCTTATCTAGGCAGTGAGGGCCCTACCCAAGCTCCCAGATGCCTGGAGAGAAATAAAATATAAGCACCTCACAGATGCTTCAGAGGAGGAAGTGAGCTAGACGTGTGTTGACATGCTTTGGGAAAGCAGCAAGTTATATGCAGATAAGGGCTGATGTCTTATTGAGGGGGTTTGATAGTAGGCCTCTCTCATGTTGTTGCTCTAGCTACGAGCAATCGCTATATTAATTTGTGTAGCTTTCATAGTTTTTTTAATATATATGTGTGAGTGTGTGTGTGTGTGTGTGTGTGTGTGTGTGTGTACTTTGACATTCATTTTTCTTGTTGAACACCCACAATGATTCTATAAGGTAAGCAGTACATATAGTGTGTCCCCATTTTTCAAGTAAGGAAACAAAGATGAAACCCAAATCTCTCCTTCTCAGTGCAGGGCACGCTGAGCACTTCCTTCTGCTATGCCCCATTCGTTGCCCTCAGGCCAGTCAGCGCCTCCATGGCGTTGTCAGTGATGCATCACCAAGGGCTGTCCTGAACCGTACCACGGGACCGAGTATCTTGTCATCAGACCTTGGCCTTGGGGAGAGTTCTTGGTCTTGATCCACACGGGGTTTCTAAGCCGGCAGTGGTGAGCCCGAGCTTCCGAGGAGCCAGGCCTGGACGTGAGCCGCTGGGCCCAGCACCAGCTCCAGTGAGCACCGTCTTCCGGGAGCAGGAGATGGCAGGCAGGCCCTGAAGTGCACAGCAGGCCTGACTAAGAACCTCGCTGTCCTAGTCCAGAGGTGGTTCTGGGTAAACTTTGCAAGTTCTCCAAGCCCATTTCTTCATTTGAAATAAAACCCCTATCTGACTGGATTATTTAGAGAATTAAGTGAAAGAAATTAAGTGTCTGGAAGGGTAAGCAAAGGGGAGCTACTGTTAGCTGTAACTGTTAGTAAAAAGGGCCAGCAGGAATGCCAGGCCAGAGCCTGGTTCCCACTGGGCCTGCTCCTGCACAGTAGAAGGGTTCCAGGGGGGAAAGAACTTTCTGGAATATGTTGCCCACACGGACTTTTTCCTGCCTGTGTACACGCCTCTCAGATCTTTAGATTGAGTTACAATGTGTGAGAGAGCTTCGTCCTCCTGGCGTTTCATGCCAGGGGAAGGCGGCGGAGACTGTGTGCTTTTCCTTCAGGGACTGACCCCCTTTACTTCTCGCAGCCAAAGCTCCGAATGGGCAAGGGAGTGTCCCTGCAGCTGGAGCTGCGCTGGTGTCCCCCGGCTCAGGGCCGGGTCCTCGGTGAGGGTCTCGCTAGCTACAGGGCTCCTCATACCCATGGGGCCATCCCACCCTCAGCTGCCCTCTGCCAGCCCTGTGGGAAGTAGCCCTACTGTGTTTTGTCTTCCAGTGCTGCTTCTAGCATACATGAAGGGGAATGCCAACTTGTGCCGTGCCATCGTCCGATCTGGGGCTCGCCTCGGAGTGAATAATAACCAAGGTGTCAACATTTTCAACTACCAGGTTGCCACCAAGCAACTCCTGTTCAGACTGTTAGGTGAGAGGCCTACTTCCAGCCCTTGGCCTGCGAGCACAGCGCAGGGCTGACTCTAGATGTATTGGGATCTGTGCATTCTAACGACTTGTTCCTGAGCTAGCCGTTCTGGGCACCGTACGGGACTTTTCTGTGAGAATGCCATGAAGGGCTTTGGGCCATGGTGGGAGGGTCACTGTTAGTCTCTCTTCAGTGCTCGCCCTGGGGCCCCTGTTGGTTTCCCACTCCCCTTGTTGCTACCAGAGCTCCCTAAGCTCCAGGCAGGTCCCCCTTCCCTTGGGTCCTGGCTGCTCATCAGCACCTTCATCCTGGGCTGATTCAGACTCTGCCTCCTTCAGAGTTGCTTCTGCTTTAGTCCCACTTGCTCTCCATCCGCTGTTTCTGTTTCCTTCTGTGAGGAGGAGCTCTTCACTCTCCATTATTCCATATTTGTTCATCCCCATTGATGAGGCAGAGAGAATCACAGTGCTGTCAGCACCCGCAGTGGACACAGCACAGGCTTATTAGCCCCAGGGTGTGGGCAGAGAATTGAGCTCAGAAATATTTTGTGGCCCAGCTGGCATGGCTCAGTGATTGAACAGTGACCTATGAACCAGGAGGTCAGGGTTCAATACCCAATAAGGGCACATGCCCAGGTTGCTGGCTCAATTCCCAGTAGGGGGCATGCAGGAGGCAACTGATCAATGATTCTTTCTTGTCATTGATAGTTCTCTCTCTCCCTTTTCCTTCTTCTTTGAAATCAATAATATATATATTATTTTTTAAAAGAAATATTTAGTAGCTATCAATTTTGATATAAGTGATTTACCTAGGGTGACAAAGCTGATTTGTAGCAGAGCCAGTGCTAAAGCTGTGTTTCTGTGATGCCTGGTCTACTGTTTGCTTGCACTTGGTTGGCCTTTTAAGAGCTCAGAATAGGAGCCTAATGCAATGCTGGCTGTAGAGGTGCCTGACAATGAGTGATTCGGGTGCTGCTCCTCCCTGTATACTCTGGCTGCTGTGTACACAGCACTCAGGCAGAGCCTGGCGTACAGCTAGTGATCACTAAGTTAATATTCATCATCATTGCTATTATCTACATTCATAACCCCCAACCCAAATCTCCACAGCCTCCACAAACCCAACACCAAACCCCTCATCTGTCTCCTTCCTGCTCCCCGCCTCCCCTCGCCCCCTGCTGCTGTCCACTCACCAGCTGTACAGATCCTTCGCACTCAGTTTCTCTTGCCTTTGTCTCCCCCCCATTCCCCTTACCATATGGTCCCTGCCAGTGTTTCCAGCTGTGGTCTCTGCTCTCTCCTCACTGTGCCTCACACTCCAGCCATGCATTTCCCACAAACACTGCAGTTTTGCTCTCTGGATACTGGTTCCTTCTCCCAGCCTGCCTGGTGGTGCTGGCTCTCCATAGGCTCCTCTGTGAAGGCTCCCTGATCCAGTCAGAGTGTTGCTCCTCCGTCCCTCGTGTCACTCTGCAGAGCGTTGTGTACTGTCTCCCTGCTCCTTCTGGAGCTCCGCGTCCTGCCCGGCACACCGCTGTCTGACAGGAGCGCCTCCTGCCTGTGTTACAGATATGCTGTCCAAGGAGCCGCCCTGGTGTGACGGCTCCAACTGCTACGAGTGCACTGCCAAGTTCGGAGTCACGACTCGCAAACATCACTGGTGAGCCCCTGACCAGAGAAGTGAGGGGACTTCTGCTGTTGTCACTGCTTCTGCCTTTTTCCATAAGCCGTGACCTTGCCAGGGCCCTGCACGCTCCTGAGCAAACTTGACCCAAAGGAGGATGTAAGGGGAGGACTACACACCTGTGATGCAGGGAGGGCAGGGCATCCGGACCGGTGTCTTTCCTGTGAGTGCTGGGCTCGCAGCCCCAGGGAGCCCGCCCGCCTGTGTCACCTTTGCCAGGCTCTCTGCTGTGGCAGAGCCGAGCCCTTACTACCTCTTGGAAGGTGAGCTTCCCAAGAATTGAGGGGCTGTTTCCAGGACAGCGAGTTGGTTCTTTGGCTGTTTGTTGCTGAGTCTCTCTTGATGTTTAAAGAAAGCCTTCTCCAGAATCACTGTAACTTAACGATTGGCTGGAAGTTTGTTTTCATGGACAAAAGTGCTTGGGTAGAATTTGGCTGCCAGTGTGGCTGCCCCTGCTCCTCAGTACCCCCCTCACACTGCCTTTCTTTGCTTCCACAGTCGTCACTGCGGACGTCTGCTCTGCCATAAATGTTCGACCAAGGAGATTCCCATTATCAAGTTTGATCTGAACAAGCCTGTGCGAGTTTGCAACATTTGCTTTGATGTACTGACTCTGGGCGGGGTCTCTTAGTGAGCCCCCGGGAGGGTCCGGGCCGCCTCCCCAGTCTCTTCCCAGCAGCCACTCTGCTCACCGGGCTGACCGCAGAGCAGGAGCCGGCCGGCGTCTTCCTGCGGCAACAGACTGGAACCAGCGATTAAGGACCATGTGTGATAGATCCCATTTCAGGTGACTCTGTATGATTGTCCGTGTGACTGTGACCGAGTTCACTAGGAGCCTAATTGGGCCAGGCCACGAGCCTACGTGGTAAACGTGATAGGAATTAGACCCCATTCTGATAGCAGCATACAGGAACACTTCCAAGAACCATTCTCCCACCCAGTAGCCTAGTGTCCCATCTCAGAGCGCTCACCAAGTCTTCCTGCCTGGGTGGCTCCCGGGTCGGCTGCTCCAGGAGCGCTGGCCTTACTCCAGGGTAAGTGGCTTTGGACCTTCCTGCACAGTGTTTTCATAAAGATTATAGGATCCTCTTGCCCTGAAGTCTTTTTTTTTTTTTTTTTTTTTTTTTAATAAAGCTAAGCTGTATTTATAGTGAGCTACCCCTTTTTAAAAAGGTGAAATCTTTCTAAACAGGGTTCAAAATGAGAGCTGGGAAACCGTGGCCTTAACAGCTGAAAGCTTTACTGGTATTCACGCTACTCGGTGTCAGCAGTGCAGTCTGGGCTCGGCACCTCCTGGCAGCCCTCTCCTCTCATCTTACTGTGTCCTGTCTGTGGAGTCCTCGCTCTGCCACTGAGGAGCAGTGGAGGAAATGCACTTTTATTGTGCTGCACTTTTTATATAGCTGCATTATTGGTGATTCCAATTTTAAAATCCATATTCAAAAAATATACCCATGCATCCGTGATTCTAGTGATCAGCTTTGACTGGACCTCTGCTCACACTAAGTCTTAAAGGGAAACTCCTGCAGAGTACCGTTTGGGGCAAGAGCCACACAGGCCAGAGGATGAGAAGGGGATCTCCAGCCTCAGGTGGATCGTCCCATCTCCTCGACATGAGTGCTTCTTGCTGAAACTGCCCCTAGTTGTGCTGTGAATGCCGTTGGTCCCAGGTCTCAGTTCTGTGTAGCTTACCCTGCCCCAGAAGAGCCCGCAGCTGAGGGCCCTGGCCAAACGTGTGTGACCTGGTTTTGGAAGTCTCTGGCTTGAATGTTGAATTGGGCCTTAGTCTCTGCTTTACATATATTAACCCTGAGGTGTTAAACATCTTTTCAGGGTTTGGCCAGTTTTTTAAAAAGTACACATTTAGAGAGAAACTTTTACCACTGCTAAAAAAAAAAAAAAAGAGAGAGACAACTCTGAGATGAACAATATGTTACACAATTATACTCAGATTAACAATCTGTTATACATACTGATTTTTCCGACATTTAATAACCACTACATTTTTTTTTTGCATTAATGAAGTATGATATATGTGTAAAGGGACTAAATATTTTTTGCAACAGCCTGATTGTTTGTTTGTTTTAGATAGTGGTATGTCCTCTATGTTGCTGTAGATTTACATTCGATTACCTAAATGTGTGTGTAAGGTGAGCTGATAAACCAGAGTGCTACTTTTTTTTTTTTTTTTTAATATTTCTGTGATTTATAAGATATATATGCTTTCTATGTAATATGAGCTTGTGCACAATGTTTAAAAGGAAAACTAGAAGAGTTGGGGACTAAAAGTCTGTGACATGTTTCATATAGAATTTTTATAGAAAAACGAGTCTTGGCAAACATGTGACCATGTGAGGCATGTGGTCCGTTTCTATCTTCTGTGGTCTGAGAGGGCCACACAGGCGGGCGCAGTTGGCTTCTTTAATTGTCAAGTAAGATAGTTATGCTTCAGGTATGAATTGAGGTGGTTGGTCCTTTTTGTTTTAACATTCATGGTGGAGAGAGGAGGATAGGAATTCAGTCAGGGATGAGGCTGACTGTCCTTCCCCTGCCCTACCAATTCCAATAACAATATTGCCTCTAATTGCACTTAAAATCATGTTTAGAATATGTTGAGTCTAGGGATAGCTATGGTACGGAGCAGCCGCGAGTCGGGAACATTTTGTGAGTTCCGCATTGGCAGTCTTGTAGGCCTAGGAAAAGCACCTTTCCTCAGACTAGCACATCTCCCTGACCATGCCAGCCATCACTGGGCTCTGCACTGCAGGTCCCTTGAGTGGCGGCTGCCTGGCGGACCTGTCCCATTCACTGCCTGGCTGGGACTTGACCCTCTCAGTCTCCTTGTGCTCTCCAAGATGGCAAGACTTGGCTACAGAACCCCCTGGCTGTTCCTATTAAATTTAATTAGTAACCTAAATACTAGTAGCAAAAATTAAATTTTATTCATTTAGAAAACTGCCAATTGTAAATGAATAAAGCAAGAATAAACTTTACTGAGGTATAATTTGCTGCATCAATCAACATTGTTCTGCTGACTTAGCTTTTTAACTGCCTCGTGCTCACCACCAGATTTATTATACAGTGTGTTCTTTACAGTTGTTTTTAAAGGTGAAGGTACAGACCATGTGCTATATAGGAATCCAATGCCTAAACTAACTTGCTATGATCCTCTAAGACAGAAATTTCGCACAAACTTAAGTGCCTACACGTAGGACTTTTTAACTTTCAGTTATGTTTCTAGTGGTATCTCATTAAATGTGTTAGAACATGTGTTCCATCTGGAGTTTGTTGCCTGTGCATTGTCAACCCCAATTACCCATTTAGTCGAGGTTGGATTAGACTGCTCAGTTCACCTGCCATGTTCTCTCCAAGAGTGGGGTCCCTGTGACTGTTAGTCCTCTACCTCATTTCTGACCGCCCTGTTCAGCTTCCTCACTCTTCTCCCTGAATGGGGTCCCTGCATGGAACTCAGCGTGCTTGTGGGATCCCCACCACTCCCAACTCATGTCTTCATCTGCTGTATTGAACTGTATTGTGCTAATCTTATCTATAGGCATGAAGTGGAGGGAAAGTCTTGGGGGGAGGGGGGGGAGAAGAGCTTTAATCTCCAGGTAGGTTTCTTTAATCTGGAGAGAAAGAACACTGTTGAACTATGTAATGTTTAGACATGAAAGGAAAATCATCCCCAGGTGACAGCCTGAGCAGTTACATATAACTCCCACGAACACACGTGGAGTTCACAGATGGAGACTGTGAAGGAGCTCCTGCAACAAGCTTTCTTCCAGGACCTGGGATTGCTTCTCTCAGGACGAGCCTGGAAGATCTGGACACTGCAAGCCCAGCCCCTCCTAATCTGGAGCAGCAAAGCTCCCCTCCCAGCTGGGGAGAGGGGGTGGCCGAGAGGAAACAACTCCCAAAGAGGTTTGGAAGTCACATTGTCCTTTTGTGGGAGAAATTGCGTGAAGAGCCGATCATTTGATAAGATATTACTAAACACTTACTAAATTCCCCGAAGTAATCATAGATGCCTTAAAGACATTTTTTGGAAGATCATTGCCTGTATATTTCCTTTTTTGTGTGGCATAAATAACGTAGTAACCTGTTACAATTGACAACATCGGTTTTCTGTAGCTAGGAAGTCTCAAGTTGGCGGACTGCTTGACTGATGGCTTGTCCTTGGCCGATGTGTAGGTTGGCTGTAACAAGGGAGAGGGCAGTAACTGGCAGAAACTGCAGCCACACATTTGGGTTGATCACCTTGGCTTTCAAGCCGTTGGGGTGCTGTTCAGTGTGGGGTGATGGTATCGTATCAGACCATGGCGCTTGTCAGCATTGTTTCTTTGGAGTCTGTGTATGGAATGTATTTTTCAAATATTGACACTTGCATTTTCTGTAACAATTCCTTATAATAAAATGAGGGTAAATTGTGCATTTAAAGTGGAAACTTTAATAAGACATTTGTAGTTACTTTTAATGCATAAGTACAAATAAGCATTAAAAACAAACACATTTTTAAAACTCCTGACACGTAAACTTCTTTAACAGTTACCCTGTAGGAAACTGAATTTCTAGCACTTTTCAGAAACACATCGTTGGAGGCAGTCACAAAGGAGCTATTTTAGGCCTAATGACCAGCTGCCTGGATTTACTGTGCTCTTGGTCCAGCTTCAGCCCTTGGCAAGGTGTGTGATCACAGCTGCAGCCTCCGTCACCCGACCCCACTGGGTTCTCCGAGGGACTGGAAATTCCCCCTGGCTCCATCACTCAGGAGCAGCAACTCGAGGATCCACCCACGGCGGGGTTTCTGCTGGTCCTGAATGGAGGGGAGGACTGACACTTGTTTCATGGGATACCTAGTGGCTGCAGCACGTGTAGGGACTGTACAAAGCCAGTCGCTCATAGGGCCTCACACTCCCTTGAACTAATGTTCTCCCTTTCTTTACCTGGCTCCCATTTTGCTTACCCTTATTTGGACCACCTGTGGGGAGATAGCTCATCCTCTGGTGGCTTTTCTGACATTTAATAGGAACTGTTAAGTGTTACTAGCCGCCTTGAAGGTGAACATTGGGCATACTATGTGAATACGAACAGGAACCAGGTATGTATCCACTTTCTCCCAATTTTGCCCAGCCAGGTAAGGCTTTAGTTCTGCTTTGTCAGCTGACAGTATTGGGCAAATGCCGTAAGTGCTGCGCCTTGGTGTCTGGGCCTATATAAGGGAAGTGACCGAGGTACTGTTTCACTTATAGGTTGTCTGGAGGAAGATGATCAGTAGTGTCCTTCCTCTTGTGCAAATAGAGCTGGTGTGCACACCGAGAGTACCCTGCAGTGAGGGCTGATGGGAGCAATGTCTGCTGCCTACTTGAGGAATCTGGGGGCTCTGGCAGTAAGAGGTGCTCTCGAAGGTAGGGGTTCAGCCCAGAATAATCTTGAGGGACACTGCAGACTTCTGGACAGAAGCCCCAGCATGTCTGTGAGGCTCTATCAGGCCACAACTTGTCCTGGGCAAGCAAGGGGTGGGAAGATGGTCTGATACGCTCCCTGTGCTGTACAGTCATGCAGTGGCGAAGCTGTGACCAAAAAGGCCGGGCTCTTCAATCCTGTGTTTATAGAAAACGAATCTCAGTTCAAAGGCAGATGTTACATTTCCTTCAGCCTATTGGGGCAATTGCCCCACCTTTGCTTGAACACTGCCCAGTGGCAGAGGGAGCAACACTCATTCGGCTCTGCCACTCCGTGACTGCTGTAACTGTTAGCAGGTGGGGGCAGATTGATGCCCCCTTTCTGGTCTATAAAATGAGGCCCTCTCTGGGCTGGCCTAGAGGTTAAATGAGAACAGATAAAGTTTCCTGCCCAGCAGAGTTGTCCAAGGTGTATTAGTTTTCTTCTCCATTTCCTTCTGCCAGCAGGTCTTAATTGCCTGAGCTGAACTTTTGTGGTTTTCACCAGAGGGACTCCTTCCTCCTCCCTAAGTTTGCCCGGGTCCACCTCTGTGGAGAGAGAAGGGAGAGGCATTTCCAGGAACCACTCACCTCCCATGGCTAAGCCTTTCGGACCATTAAAATGACAACCTGCTCTTGCTGAATCCTTTGAAGATCCCCCACTGACACAATCCCTGCCTTTCTGCTATACTGTAAGCTCCTTGAGGCCAGGGGCCTGGCTTTCCTCCCGACCTCCACTCCCTGGCACAGGTGCTTGGCAAGTATTTGTTGAATGACCAAGGACACCAGAGCAGTGGCAGTGACTAGTTCCCAGTTAGCTTGGTGTTGAGATGCCTCAGGGGCTGAATGGAATGCAGAGCAAGGAAGGCCCTAATCTCAGCTCCCTGCTCCTGCCCCAGGGAGGGCACTGGCATGCCAAACTGCGGGAGTGAAAATAGCCAAGTCAGGACGAGAACCTTGAGTCCTAGGCTCGGCTCCACTGCTTTGTGTCCTTATGAAGTTTTTAGACCTTGGCCACCTCATCTCCAAAACGAGCTACCTGCACACACACCATGTGCTCCAGGTCCTGTGGATACAGGGGTACAGAACCCGGCAGCCCTTGGTCCCTGTTCTCAGCTGCAGTCCAGAGTGAGAGGCTGATGGGAAATCATGGTCACAGAACACAGGTTTGTTATCTGAGAACACATGGAATCTGTGTTGTGGGAACATGGAGGAAGGTGCATTTAAAGCCAACTGGTGGGCCAAGGGTTAATGAAAGCTTCCACGAGGTGCGGTGTGGCTGAATTTCGGGGAGAGAAGAGGTGGACAAACTGAGCAGAGGAAGAGGGATCATTCCAGGTGGAAGGCGTTGCAGGCACACTGCAGTGAGTGGAGGCTGAGGGAGGAGGAGATGGAATGCCAGAAATGAGTTGAATGCCTACAGAATTGCTCAGGAAAGGTATCTGGACTAGATCCAAGAAGTGGGAAGAGCTAGAGGGAAGGGTCATGGAGGAGAGGCGGCTTTTAAGGAAAGGGGCCATCAGATAGAGCAAAGCTGAGTTTATCCTGCTGTTGATCAGGGAAGGGCAGAGGGATTTAGGGAGGGAGAGGTTAAAGGTTCAGGAAGGACAGGTGAGGAAGATCCTGGGGTGGGAAAATGAGTCAAGAGCAGAGTCCGGTGTAAGGAGCAGGTGTGGCCACAAGGGTAGTGAACCATGAGACTGCCCTTGTTGGGGAGGCAGCCTCCATTTGCTAGTCAGTGAATCTGGAAAGCTATTTAATGAGATTAATTATAAACGAAAGGAAGAATAGAGGATGTTTAAAATAAGAGTTGAGTCCAGCTGGTGTGGTTCAGTGGTTGATCCATGAACCAAGAAGTCATTAGTTCAATTCCTGGTCAGAGCACATGCCCAGGTTATGGACTCAATCCCCGGTAGGAGGCGTGCAGGAGGCAGCTACCAATGTTAATTTCTCATCGATGTTTCTGACTCTGTCTCCCTCTCAAATCAATAAAAACATTAAAAAAAAAAAAGTTGAGGGGTCTGGGAAAGGAGTGGAAGTGAAGGCTCAGATGAGGAGAAACCATGTCTAATACTTTATTGCCTTATCTATGAGGTAGAAACGCTCCTTGCCCCTGTCTACTCAACCTCAAGAAGCCAAGAGTAAATGGGTATGAAATACGCCAAATATAAATTACAGTGACCTTGGACACAACCTGTGGAGAGCGGCTACAGCGTTTGGACAGGTTCAAGCCTGGGACTAATGAGGGCATGATCCTCTCGTGGCAAAAGCCACATGTAAGTCCCAGCACAATTATAGCCAAAGGCTATGGTTGTAAGCTTGAACCTGTGGTCCCACATGGCTAAGTGATATGGGCTGCAGGAGGTGCAGCAAGTAAACAAAGCTTGATCAGATGCATGTAATTGAGTAGATTCGAAACCCACGAGAACATTGTAACCACACCCTTACTTTGCCTCCTGGAAACTGGCTATAAAATAAAGACTCGGCTTGCAGGCCTTGGCGTTGTCTCCATCAGAGTGCAGCGTCCCACCAGACCCAGCTTTCTTCTTGTCCATCTTTTCTCAATCCTTCACCGCCCCCTCAGGCTCACCGAACCTGGCCGTGCTGGCGCGACTCACAACCCACTGGAAGAGCTGCCAGCCCAGACACCGTCAAATTGAGGCTTTTCGTATTAGCATCGGCAGCCTTGCACAAACCACCTTTCGCCAAAAACGCAGAATTCTCCCTTTGAAAACACACCACACCTTAATTTTAAGTTTTTGAAATAGAAACAATATCCTTGCTTTAAATTTAAAGAGGCATCTGGATTTGCTGCATCTATATAAGCAAAAGCTTTTCCAATTTCTAGAATTAGTCTACTCTTTGTTACCTCTGACTATATTGGCACAGCTGGTATCAACTCAGTGCAACTTTCTGTTGTAAATTAGGGAAGAGGAGTCACATGTAAGAAAGGTTACAGCCTGAGACTCAGTAGATAGAGCACTGGCCTGCAGAACAAAGGGTCCTGGGTTCGATTCTGGTCGAGGCATGGACCTTTGTTGCAGGCTCCTTCCCAGTCGGGACTTGTGCAGAGGCAACCAGTTGATATGTTTCCCTCACATCAATGTTTCTGTCTGTCTTTCCCTCTCCCTCCTACTCTCCCTAAAAATAACCTCGGTTGAGTATTAACAAAAAAAGAAAAGAAAAAAAAAAAGTTATAAAAATCAGGGGTAACAAGTTTAGCCATCAGGGAACCTGGAAGAGAGTATGTTGATGCCGTTCTTATTTATTTGTTGTCGTTCGTTCATTCATTCATTCATTCATTTATTCATTTTTGGTCTTTTCTGGATGTATCCTCTTGTTTCTGAGTTGTGAGAGAGTGATGTAGTGCCTTTGTGCCAGTGCCCCTGACCAGTCCAGCAGTTGATCTGGCAGCCTGGGAGTCCGTGGGAAGGGTTGGAGCTGAGAGCCCTTTGCTTGTCTGTCCAGTTCTCAGTTGGTCATATTTGTGTTAATATCTGAGGGCTCTGAAGAAGGATGGCAAGTACATCTAGAGGAATAGTGGCAAAAATGGACTGACCAGTACGAGGTGAGTTGCCCAGCTCTGGCCTCGGTCACCAGAATGGTGAGCCCGTGGTGAGGGTCATGGCCACATTTGCAGAGGCCAGAGTTCTTTGGCCCTCTTGTTTGATGTCAGGAGCCATCCTAGTGCACGTGAGCCAGGGCTCATTGGGCTTCTCTGTGCATTATCACAGACAGGGCACCAGCTTAGAGTGGGAAAGAGCATGTAGTTGCCAGGGGTGGGCAGCCTGTATATTCCTCCAAGTTGGGGTGATCCAAGTCCCCACGATTTCTGTGTGTAGGGTTATCCGGTGCTGGGTCACTAGGGGGACCGGTTGTTCTCACACACACACAGTGGGGCTCCTTGGCACCTGGCTTGTACAGCTTCCTGGGGACACCAGTCCAGTCTCTGCTCATGCCTCCACTGAAGAGAGAAGGAGAGAGACTTAGAAGCGTGAACTAGTGAGTCGGGGGGGGGGGGGGGGGGAGAGCAGTGAGCCATCTTGACGTTTTCCCAAGGCGAGGTCTGCAGTGTTCAGCCCCTGAACCTTGTGCTCTCAACTTCTGCCAGCTTCCCTGCCCAGGGCGTCCTCCAGGCACTGCTCCCTGCCCCCGCCCTGCCCTGTGCCTTCCTGGGAGCAGCACTCCCTGCATTGGCAGCAACACCTGGGAAAGGCTTTCTCCACTGGCCTGTGAGCTTCTCAAAAGCAGTGTCTGGCTCTGATTCTCTCTTCCCACTCTATTCTAGTGCCTTGATCTTAGGGTGTTGGGCACCTAGGTAGGGTGGACAACTGAGGCAACAACACAAGCCATAGTGGTCAGCCTGCTCTGAGAGGCCATTTCTTGCCCCTTGTCCAGGCGCAGTCCTGGCCACCTGGTCCAACATAGCCTGAGCAACCTGCTGTCCGGGGCAGAGGAAACCCACCTCATAGAGTCCCGAGTACAGCCTCCCACGGACTCGCAAGCCTTGCAGAGAAAAATGAGATTCTTGGAATGGATGCCCATGTAGGTTCAAGCGCCTGGGACCCGAATCACTTGCTGTCAGAGAAACTGCTGCCCAGTTAACTTACTAAGAGAAGGCTGTCTGGGAAGGCACTGAAATGCCACCTCCTTCTAACCACCCATCCCATCGCCAGTGAACCTTGCTTCATACCCAGTCCCTGCCTCAGGACTCCTTCTCCCAGTCTCCAGGGAGATAGTACACGTGGAAACAAAGCATTGGGTTGAAGCACAGAGATGGGGTCACGCTCCTTGGAGTTGGTCTGGAAGAGCTTTGTGGGGAAGGCAGAGCCTAAGCAATTCAGGAAAGTAGGAGGGTGTTACACAAAAACAGGCAGGGCTGTGGGGACGGAGAGGGAGGCAGCTTCTCCCTTGCCCCTCTTTCTGGAGACATGACGACCCTGGAGGGGCTGTCTCTGAAAAACTGGTGGCCAGGGGAGAAGAGGCTTTCCTTCCTGCTGCCGTCACCCCTGCTCCCCTGAATTAATGGGGGGAACATGTGATGCACATGGGGCTGGGCCTACCTAGAGAAAGCTGCTGGCTTCGACACAAGGAATCAGCATCAAGGAGAGCAAAGAGGTGTGGCTTCTCCCGCAGAAGAGGGTGGATCTACACAAAGCACTGAACACAGTGGTCCTTTTTTTTTTTTTAAATATATATTTTATTGATTTTTCACAGAGTGGAAGAGAGAGGGATAGAGAGTTAGAAACATCGATGAGAGAGCATCTTCAATGTGCCCGCAACCAAGGTACATGCCCTTGCCCGGAATCGAACCCGGGACCTTTCAGTCCGCAGGCCGACACTCTATCCACTGAGCCAAACCGGTCCTGGCACAGTGGTCCTTGCATAAGCCACAACAGGTCACCCTGACCCTCCGTGACCTGGGCTCTTACTTTGAGGCCCTCGAGGCTGGGCGTTTGTCTAGTTTCTTCTCCTTTCCCCTTATCAGAGCTAAAGGAGATGTGAGGGATTTGAACTGCATTTAAATCCAGGCTGGCCTGATGATTAAAGCAGGAAAACTTTTTTTTTCCTCTAGTTTCCCAAAACTAACCTGAAATATTCCCTGTGACATCCTATCTAATATTCTAATCTGGCTCACTTAAATTCTTACAGGCAAGGACTTCTCATCTAGTGTACCTCCTGGAATTACTCAGAATTTGCAGAGTTCTTAAGAGGCATCTCAGGGCATCAACGCAAGTGGTTCTGTCCACCTCACCCCTCCCTTAGGCAGGAGTGGTCTGTGCTGAAAAAAGGGAAACAAAGGCCCGTGGATGAATGAACAGGCCAAAGCTAGAAAACGGTGCTTGTGACTTTTCATTCCCTGCCAAGGGTTCTTCAGCAGCGACTTTGGGGAATTAAAAAAAGAAAGAAAAAAGAAGATGGCCAGATCTCAATCCTAATGTTCTCATCCAGTTGCCTGCAGTGAGGTCCCACCATTGGTAATTTTTTTAAATTGCCCAGAAGCCGAAACCGGTTTAGCTCAGAGGTAGAGCGTCGGCCTTCGGTCTGAAAGGTCATATAGGTTCGATTCCGGTCAAGGGCATGTACCTTGGTTGCGGGCACATCGCCAGTAGGTGGTGTGCAAGAGGCAGCTGATTGATGATTCTCTCTCATCAACATTTCTAGCTATTTCTCTCCTTTCCTCTGTAAAAAATCAGTAAAATATATTAAAATAAATAAAATAAAATAAAATTGCCCAGAAGATTCTAACATGTAGTCAAAAGTGGAGAATCACTATCCCAGGGCGCATGCATTTGGAAAAAGTCCCCCTGGGTTAACAATCACCGTCCGGCCTCCCTGACCCACAGGACGAGCCAGGAGTGGGTTTGGGAGCGCAGTGCAGCGGGAGGGAAGCCTGTTTACCTCGACTGGGAGCACCAGAGCCTGCTGCCCCGGGCTGAGCTCCACTCCGTGTTGCATGGTGGAAACTTCTTCTTCTCTTCCAGTTCCTGCTTGCTTGCCTCCAAGCCTTTGGTGATCAGGGCTTCTACCTGGGCCAGTTCCGAGGTGGGTAGCCCATCCTTTCCATAGAACCTTCCAATCACCCTTCCTGCGGTGATAGGAAAGCTGCTGTCAGAACCCGAGGGGGAGGGGTGTTGGGAGCCATCAGAGTTGAGACAAGCAACTCAGTCTTAAGGAAATAGAATTAAATTCCTTCTAGCAGAAGTTATGCGGTGTCCTGAGGGTTTGGCCAGAAGGTAAGATTAACCTGCTGCTTAGCATCTCTGCAACTTCCCCTTCCTGATCCTCCCCCATAGATAGTCCAGCCTTGGAATGTTACACCTTGGAATGTTACGCAGCCCTGGCAGTTAGCCAATCCTCTGTTGCCAGATACCTTACCACCTTGCCACTCAGTGCCTAAACCAATTATACACTGCCAAAGACCCCTCTGCGTAGGCAACCCTGCCCCCCTCTGTTTCTGCTGTATATATACAGCCATTTCAAAGAATAAAGTGGAGGCTTGATCAGAGAACTTTGTCTTGCCTCCGTTCTTCGCATTCCTTGTTTGTTTCATTCTCTTAGGTGGTTCCTGTGTACCCCAGTTGTTGCCCCTCGGGCCGGGACAGAGGGGCGGGATGGTGTGTGTGGGGGAGGGGGGGCGGGGGTGGGTGGGGACAGGAGGAGATGTTTGGCTTCACCCCCAGTTGTAATACAGCCGGTTCCCAGGGCTTCTGGGGTCCGGGCTCTGCTGGAGCCTGCTGGCTGCGTATTTCTTAAGAACTCATATTGGAGGACTTGGAGCACCTTCTATCCCAATGTTTCAACATCTTACAACACTCCAGATGGAAGCATCCCTTTTGCACTTGTTGAGTCTTCTGTGGAAATTATAAAATGTCTCACTTTCAGAAATCAGTCCTCTGAGAGTGGAGCCCTGTGATTCCTTCTCAATGCTCCACAGTGCCTGAGGCACACAGTAGGTGTTCAATAAATGTACAAATAAATGGCATTCTGTGTAACATTTTTGTGGCTTAATTCTTCCCAACATTGAATTATTTTGTCATATATAACTATAAATAAATAACTTATTAAGCAATTACTTAGTAGCAGGTGCAATGCTAGTACAAACTACTATTTTCTTTCTTTTTTATATATATATATTTTATTGATTTTGTACAGAGAGGAAGGGAGAGGGATAGAGAGTTAGAAACATCGATGGGAGAGAGTCATCGATCAGCTGCCTCTTGCACACCCCCCACCGGGGATGTGCCCACAACCAAGGTACAAGCCCTTGACCGGAATCGAACCCGGGACCCTTCAGTCCCCAAGCCGACGCTCTATCCATTGAGCCAAACCGGTTTCGGCCAAACTACTATTTTCTTAATCCTCATAACCCTATAAGAAAGTAATCATTGCTGAGACCGGTTTGGCTGCGGGCATATCCCCGGTGGGGGGTGTGCAGGAGGCAGCTGATCGATGACTCTCATTGATGTCTAACTCTGTATCTCTCAACTCTGTATCTCTCTCCCTTCTTCTCTGTACAAAATCAATAAAATATATATATTTTTTAAATTAAAAAAAAAAAAGAAAGTAATCATTGTTCCCCTCTCCACAGGAGAGATGGGGAGGAGGGTGTCTTTGAAACTAATGAGTGGTTCTGAGCCCAAGCATATGCTCTCTCCCCCACGCCTCCCCCCCCCCCCCCACCCTCGGTTATCTTCTCGCTCAGTCCTACGGACATATTGGGTGGGAATTGGTTTTAGTTTAAAATCCATGCCAGAATTTGTAACCGTCTAAGTCAGTGGTCGGCAAACTGTGGCTCTTGAGGGACCAGGTGCCCCAGCCATTTCCTTCTGGGACTCACTGCCACACTACCAACTAGAACTTAAGGTGAAAGATCCATAGGTATTTTTAAAATTTTAACCTTGAATCCAAGCCCCAAAGAATTCTAGTCCCTTAAAAAATTGCAAGAAAAAGAAATGAAATCTTTGGAAATGGCCTGTGGAATACCTACCAACAAATCTGTAATTTTTCTCATAGAATGATAGCCAATTTTGAAGTGTCAGCATCTCAGAAAGTGACAGGTCAGATACATCATCCACAAGGCCTGCTTCAGAGTAGTCCCCAGTCACAAACGCTCTGGATGCGTCTCGGCCTAAAGGAGAGATGTTTCCAGTCAATGGACTTATAAATCACTGACATCGTATCAAATCATGAATCTCTTTCCTGAGAAAGATCTGAAAACCCCACCGCCCACCCCCAAGCAAACATAACCCCCTCCTCTGTCACAGGTGCTCGTGGAGCTGGGACACACGTTTTGGCATTTATCACATTCCTTCATCTTCTTTCAGCAACATTCAGTACAGCGGACCATGTCCCTCGGCTTCCATGACACCACGCTCTGGTTTTCCTCCTGCCTCTCCAGCTCGTTTTCTACCAGCCTCTGAGATCAATTCTTGTCCATTTCCTCTACTCCATCCACACCCTCCGCTTGACAATCTCATCCACTCCCGTGGTTTCAAATACCACCTCTAAATCAAAAATTGCTAAATGTGTATCTTTAGTCCAGACTTCTCTTGAGCTCCAGACCTGTCTGTCCAATTGTCTACTCAGCATCAACTTACATGTCATCACAAGTTCAAAATGTTCACACTCAACTAATGGTCATCAGCATCCCCAGCCGTAGGAAACTCGCATCTGTTCTAACATTCCCCGTCTCAGTAAATAGCAACCAGTTGCTCAGTCCAGAAATGCAGTCCTTGACATCTCCTTCATCCCTCACATCCAATCAGTCCCCAAATCCCATAACCTAAATAGTTCTTACATCTACCTTTCTCCATCTGCCACTAAGCAAGCCCAGGCTGTCATCATTTTTCTTTTTCTTTTTTTAAAAAAATATATTTTATTGATTTTGTACAGAGAGGAAGGGAGAGAGAGAGTTAGAAACATCGATGAGAGTCATTGATCAGCTGCCTCTTGCACACCCCCCTACTGGGGATGTGCCCGCAACCAAGGTACATGCCCTTGACCGGAATCGAACCCGGGACCCTTCAGTCTGCAGGCCGACGCTCTATCCCCTGAGCCAAACCGGTTTCGGCTGTCATCATTTTTCATCTGAACGACAATAACCTCCTAGCGGTTCTCTATACATCCATTCTTTCCCAACTGATCTCTTTTTCATAAAACAGATTATTTTAAACACAAATGGACCAAGTCATTCTCTTGCTTAAAAATTCTCAGTGACTTCCTTCTGCTCTATGATGTCAAAATTCCATAACTAGCCATTCAGAACTCTGCACCAGCTGCCACCAACCTTGCCTTGCTCTGGCTCCCTGGCCTCTGGTCACAGCAGCGTGTGTTCCTTTTCACACTCATCACAAAAATAATTCATTAATTGTTTATGTGACAACTACTGAATTTCTGTCTCTTCTACTTGTCAGCACATTTTATAAGGGAAACACGAAACTCCTTTAGTATTGATCACTTAGTGTCCGTTTTTTTTTTTTTTAATAATATATTTTATTGATTTTTTACAGAGAGGAAGGGAGAGGGACAGAGAGCAAGAAACATCGATGAGAGAGAAACATCAACCAGCTGCCTCCTGCACACCCCCCACCAGGGATGTGCCTGCAACCAAGGTACATGCCCTTGACCGGAATCGAACCTGGGACCCTTCAGTCGGCAGACCATAGCTCTATCCACTGAGCCAAACCAGTTTCGGCAAAACATTATTTCTTTTAAAAAACTATTATTTAAATAGAGTTACTTGGCGATTCTACACTCAAGAGAACTGAAAACATGCCCACAAAAAAGCTTGCACATGGATGTTTAGAGCAGCATATTCATAATAGGACAAAATGAGAACAACCCGATTTCTAACTAACGATGAATAAACAAGAGTGGTCTATCTATACAATGGAATACTATTTGACCATAAAAAAAAAAAATTAAAAAAAATGGAGCCCTAGTGGGTTTGGCTTGTGGATAGAGCGTTGGCCTGCGGATGAAATGGTCAATTCCGGTCAAGGGCATGTTCCTTGGTTTCATGCTCCTCCCTGGCCCGGGCCTTGGAGAGGAGGCAACCAATCAATATGTTTCTCTCATATTGATATTCTGTCTTTCCCTCTCTCTAAAAATCAATGGAAAAATATCCTTGGTGAGGGGGGAAAAAAAAGGAATAGAGTGCTGGTACATACTAATATATCACGGATGAACCTTGGAAACATTATGTTAAGTCAAAGAAGCCCGTCACAAAAGCCACATGTATGACTCCATTTCTATGCAAAGGCCAGAGACAGAAAGTGGAGAGTAGTTGTTGAGGGTTGGGGGATGGGAAGGAATGGGGAGTGACTAATAATGGATGTGGTTTTTTTTGTTTTTGTCTTTTGTAGGGGGTCCGATAAAAATGTTCTGGAATTAGCAATGTTTGCACAACTTTCAGACTATATTAGAAACCACTGAATTATACATGTTACAGGGGGTAGATTTCACATTGTATGAATTACATCAATAAAAAGTAACAAAAAGATTGACTGAACAAATGAATAAATGAACCTAATTTGTGTCTCTTCTAGAAGGTGTGGGCAGTGGGAGCATGTTGTAATCTTTGGCACAAGGCAGGCTACACGTTAGTGGTCAGTAAATGATGTTGAATGAGTAATGGGCACCCTGCAGAAGAAATACTATCCAGAAGAGGTTTTTATGCTCACACTTGTGGGTACAGCCATGAAGGCTGCATCAGGGTGGGGCAGGATAGTGCACCCGAAAGTGCCCTCTCCTCGCAGGTAAACTAAAACCCTTGATTCTGGTCCCAGCTCCACTTCGAACTCACTGTGTAGCCTGGGTAAGTCCCTTCCCCTGCTCAACTGTTCCAGGAGCTTGGCAACACCAACTGAACTCGACTCCTTTTCTGTCTATGCTGCTTCCATCTCTCAAGTCCTCCCTAGAAACAGGGAAGTGACTTGTATTTAAGTACCAGAGGCAGCTTCCCAATTTCCCCAAAATAATGATCAAGTGGAAAATGCTCATTTAATATTAGCCGAGTCACTGGCCTTAAGCTTGCTCTGCATTCTCCCCCTCCCTCCTCTTTAAATCTGAGAGATGGTCATTCCTCCAGGCTGGTAAGGCAACATCTCTAAAAGTAATAAGCTTGTGGTTTTAGCTTAAGTCCTGTTAGCTATGAGGGCTTTGGGCAAATTACATCCTTTAATCCCCTCAGCTGTAAAACAGGGTCAGCAGGACAAACTTAAATTGACAAGGGTTCTTTGAGGCAAAACATACACGCAGCTGTGAGTACTGAAGGGCTGTAAAAGATGGCCAGACTCTTGCCCTAGCCAGTGTGGCTCAGTGGATAGAGCGTCGGCCTGCGGACCCAGGGGTCCCAGGTTCGATTCCGGACAAGGGTATGTGCCTCGGTTGTGGGCACATCCCCGGTGGGGAGTGTGCAGGAGGCAGCTGGTCGATGTTTCTAACTCTCTATCCCTCTCCTTTCCTCTCTGTAAAAAATAAATAAAATATACTTAAAAAAAAAAAAAAAAAAAGGGCCAGACTCTTGCCCAGCGCTCTAACCTCAGAATCTTTTTTTTTTTTTTTTTTAAAGAAAGGCAGACACGTGCATCTGAACCAGAAGCAAGAACTACTCAAACCAAAGGTACCCCTTTGAGGGGAAACGTGGATCCGGAGGAATTGAAGAGAAGACTGGAATCAGCTGGGTCTCATTCATTTCTGTGCCCTGGGAGCCACACAGGGTGGCATAAAGCAGGCGCCCCTCGGGGGAGCTCCTGCCGGTGGGTAATGGGAAACCAACAAGAGGCAGGAGGCGCGTCTCTCCACGTAAATCAGGAAGAACGACTCGGGGAAGAGAGGCCGGTAGCTGCTGGCCACAGTCACGCCGGGCCAGCGAGACCGGAAGGGCCCGGTCCCACGCCGGCCTGATGAATGCGGGGAGGGAAACAGCAGGGAATCCATGAATGAATGAACCCCGCACCGGCGGCTCCCCGCCCGCGTCCGAGCACGAAAAAAGGGCACGAGCCGCCGCGCTACTACCTGCGAAGCCGCTATAGGGAGCCCCGGGCTCGTAATGCCTGCGGCCGGAGGACACGTCGTAGACGCGGCCGAGCAGGGCCAGGTAGAGGCCTGGCTCCCCGGGGCCGCCGCGGTGGCCGGCCAGCTCCCCGGGGGTGAAGAGGCGGGAGCCGGCGCGGGGGCCCCACCAGCCCACCAGCCGCGCCGCCACCGCCGCGGCCGCCGCAGCCGCCAGGCCCAGGAGGAGCCCGCGCCCGCCGGGCCGCAGCATCGACAGCCCGCCGCACGCCCGCCCGCCCGCCCGCCGCTCGGCCGAAGGGGCTGCCTCTCTGCCCACAACGAAGATGGCGGAGACGCGGGCCGTGACGTCACCGGCGTCACACTCTCTCTTGTCCCGCCCGGCCTTGAGGGGACTCGGAGGGCTGAACGGGAGACAGTCCAGGTCAAGCTCATTTCCTGGCTTCTACTCTTTCCCGTGCCTTTTCAGCACAGCCGGAGCGATCCCGAGGGACTGAGCAGCGGAAAGGCCTTCTGGGCTGGCCGGATGTCAGTCAGCCCCTAACAAAGAGAGTGACTCCGGACGCCAGGGGCCTCGCAGTTCCGCCCTTCGCTGACGCTATCCACAGTGGCTGTCTCACGACAGCGGGTAGGGTCCGCTTGACGGCGCCTTAGCGACAGCCATCCTCGCTTGACGGCGAGGAAGCCGGAAGTCACCGCTGCTGCCGCTGTCCTCCCCTCCCCGTCCCCGCCCGCCGGGTACTGAGGTTGACAGGTCGAGGCGGGGAGGCGGCGGCGGCGGCGGCGGCGACAGAGCCGGGTGCCCGAGACGGAGACCCCATGGGGAACGCTCCGAGTCACAGCAGTGAAGACGAAGCGGCAGCCCCCGGGGGCGAAGGCTGGGGCCCGCACCAGGACTGGGCCACGGACCCCGGCATGGCCCCCGGCCCAGGCCCTGCTGCCCCGGCGCTGCCGCCCGCCCCGGCGCTCTTGGAGCCGGCCCGGCTGCGAGAGGCGGCGGCTGCGCTGCGGCCCTCGCCGCCCTGCGAGTCCCTGGTGTCCCGGCACCACGGCGCGCTGCTGCGCTGGCTGGAGGAGCGGTTGGGCCGCGGCGAGGAGTCCGTCACCCTGGAGCAGTTCCGGGAACTGCTGGAGGCTCGTGGCGCCGGCTGCTCGGGCGAGCAGTTCGAGGAGGTCAGGGCTGCCTGGGACTGCGGGGCGGGGAGGGGGGAAAGGCGGTCGTTCTCTGGGGCGAGAAGAGGTGGGCGGTGGCTTTGCCGCGGCAGCGGCCAGGTAGAACCCACACAGCGTCCGAGAACGGAAGCAGGGGGCGCCGGGACTTGCATGGGTGTTTTCAGTCTGTTCACCGCCAGAGGCGGCTACAAATTGCTTTAACTTTTCATAGAAATGTGGAAAGCCTAGACTAGATCTTGCTCTGAAAAACTGAACAAGTCCAGATGTCCTTTGCATTTTGTTGTTAATGCAGACACTTGTGCAGCTGCCGGAAGCTGCTCTACGGAGCTTTCTTATCAGGCTCCAGAATAGCTTAAGGGAAAGGAGGTGTAGTAATCTAGGGAGTGCCAGTGAGAACCATTGTTTTATTGGCCACGGGGGTTTTACTGAGCACCTTTTGAATCGAGTGTGGGCGCCTAACAAAATGTGGGAGGAGAATAACATATTGGAAAAACACATTCTAAAAGCCATCCTCCTTAGGCAAACACTAGCATTTCCAAGTACACGTTCAGTTTTAGATCTTTGAAGAACCATTTTTAGACTAACTTAAACCTTCATTGAGCCCAAAGCTTATATAGGTAAATACCAGATTTCCCGTGAATACTTGTAATTATGGTTCTTGGCATAATTACCTATGTCACCTCTATTAAATTATTAACAGCAAGTCGATATGGCAACGAAATATTTTCCTTGGAAAGGATCTAAGGAATTATGTGTACTGAACACTTCACTTTAGAGTTAAGAAGAGAACTTAGATTGTTACTCAAAGAACTGATCCAAGGGTTACTCAGGAAATCATTGGCAAAACAGACTGTCACTCATATCTCTTGATTTTCGTTGGTCTTATCTCCACTACCTCCTTCTTGGGACTCTATTTTATTTAACTCCACAATGTTATAACAAAAAGGTGCTTCTTTTTTGAAAATAAGTAGGATTGTCAGTGAAGTAAGTGTGAGTACATAAAGCAGCAAATTGACAGCTACTTGTAATGCCATAAAAAAGTGACGACATAAAAAAAGTGATCCAGAGGCTTGTAAAATATTTTAAGAATGTTTTCCTGTACCTGGCCAGATTCAGATAATATGGTTTGTATGTTTTTTATATTTTCCTTTAAAAAAAAAAAAAAAGACCTGTAAGGCATCTCAATACTTGAAAATGCTGGTCATATTAGTGAGTGAGGGTTTTCTTTCTTTCTTTTTTTTTCTTTTCTTTCAATTACAGGTTACTTTCAATGTTATATTGTATTAGTTTCAGGAGTACAGCTATTTTACAAAGTATTTTGATATTTCAAGTATCCTCCTGGCACCATACAATGTTACTGACTATATTCCTATGCTATTCTGTAACTACTAATGACTATTCTGTAGCTACAATTTGTACTTCTTAATCTCTTCATCTTTTTCACTCAGTCCCCCAACCCACCTTCCCTCTGGCAACTAGTCCTCTATCTGTAAGTCTGTTTCAGTTTTGTTTGTTCATTTATTCTGTTCTTTAGGTTTCATAGACAAGTGCTATTATATGGTTTCTGTCTTTCTCTAACTTATTTCACTTAGTATAATACCTCCAGGTATATCCATACTGTCACAAATGGTAAGATTTCATTCTTTTTTATGGTCAAGTAATAATGATTTCATTGTATATAGTATCACAGCTTTTTTTTTTTTTAATATATTTTATTGATTTTTTACAGAGAGGAAGAGAGAGGTAATAGAAAGCTAGAAACATCGATGAGAGAGAAACATCGATCAGCTGCCTCCTGCACATCCCCCACTGGGGATATGCCCGAAACCAAGGCACACGCCCCTGACCTGAATCGAAGCCAGGACCCTTCAAGTCCGCAGGCCGAAGCCCCATCCACTGAGCCAAACTAGTTTCGGCTAGTATCACAGCTTTTTTATCCATTAGTCCCGTGGTTGGCAAACTGCGGCTTGAGAGCCACATGCGGCTATTTGGCCCCTTGAGTGTGACTCATTCACAAAATACCACAGCCTGGGCGAGTCTATTTTGAAGTGGTGTTAGAAGAAGTTTAAGTTTAAAAAAATGGCTATCAAAAGAAATTTCAACTCTAGCTGGTTTGGCTCAGTGGAAGAAGGGTCCTCAGTTCCATTCTGGTCAAGGACACAAGCCTGGGTTGAGGGCTCGATCCCCCAGTAAGGGGCGTGCAGGAGGCCACCAATCAATGATTCTCATCATTATTGTTTTTATCACTCCCTCTTCCTTCCTCTCTAAAATCAATAAAATATATTAAAAAGAAAAAAATTTTCAATCGTTGTTCTGTTGATATTTGGCTCTGTTAACTAGTGAGTTTGCCAACCACTGCACTAGTCTATTGAAGGGCACTTGGGTTGCTCCTATATCTTGGCTATTATAAATAATGCTGCAGTTGAACATAAGGTTGCATATATCCTTTCAAATTAGTGTTTTAGATTTTTTTGGATATATACCCCAAAGTGCAATTGCTGGATCATAAGACAGTTTCATTTCTTTTTCTTTTTTGAAGTAAGTTTCATTTTTAAATTAAAAAAAAAAAAAAAAAAAAAAATATATATATATATATATATATATATATATATATATATATATATATATATATATATATATATTGGTTTCAGAGAAGAAGGGAGAGGGAGAGAGACACCAATGATGAGAGAGAATCATTGATCGGCTGCCTCCTGCACGACCCTTACTGGGGATTGAGCCTGCAACCTGGGGGTGTGCCCTTGACCAGAATCAAACCCGGGACCCTTCAATCTGCAGGCCGACACTCTATCCACTGAGCGAAATTGGCTAGGGCTCATTTTTAATTTTTTGAGGAACTTCTGTACTGTTTTCCATATGACTGCATCAATCTGCATTCCCACCAACAGTGCACAAGGGTTCCCTTTTCTCCACATCTTTGCCAATCTTGTTATTTGTTGATTAATTGATGATAGCCATTCTGACAGGTGTGAAGAGATACCTCATTGTGGTTTTATTTGCATTTCTCTGATGATTAGTGACATTGAGCATCTTTCCATATGTCTATTGGCCACCTGTATTTCCTCTTTGGAGAAGTATCTATTCAGGTCCTCTGCCCATTTTTTCTTTTTCTTTAAAAAAAAAAAAAATATATATATATATATATATATTTTTTTTTTTTATTGATTTTTTTACAGAGAGGAAGGGAGAGAGATAGTTAGAAACATCGATGAGAGAGAGTCATCAGCCAGCTGCCTCTTGCACGCCCCCCACTGGGAATATGCCCACAACCAAGGTACATGCCCTTGACTGGAATCGAACTCGGACCTTTCAGTTCATAGGCTGACGCTCTAGCCACTGAGCCAAACCAGTTTCGGCAACCTCTGCCCATTTCTTAATGGGGTTGTTTGTTTTGGTGTTGAGTTGTAGGAGCTCTTTATAAATTTTGGATATATATATATATATATATATATATATATATATATATATATAATTATTTTTTTAATATATATACATATTTCCTTATCAGATATATCATTGTTGAATATCTTCTCCCATTCAATAGGTTGTCTTTTTGTTTTGTTGCTAGTTTCCTTTATTGTGTGAAAACTGTTTAGTTTGATGTAGTCCCATTTGTTTATTTTTTCTTTTGTTTCCCTTGTCTGAGGGAATACATTAGAAAAAAATGTTGGTAAGAGAAATGTGTGGGTTTATTTTTGTACTCTCTACTTTATTTTATTAATCTATGTGTCTGTTTTTATGCTAGTGCCAGGATGCTTTGATTACTATAACCTTGTAATGTAGTTTGACATCAGATAGCATGATACTTTCAACTTTGTTCTTCTTTCTCAAAATTGCTGTTCCATTTTTTAAAAATTCCAAGAATATCCATAATACTTTCCACTCTAGTCCTAGGTAGTATAAGAAAAATGAAGCTGTGCAAGAAAGAGCTGTGTGGATCTGTTGAAGGAGTTGACACATTTCAGAATTGTCCAAAAGAGAAAATAGAGAAATAGTGTTTACATTGTGATATTGTTAGACAGGAATAGAACTACAGGTGAAGTTTACAGGAGTCCTGTAAGG